TCTGAACCTTGTGCATACACTTTCTGTGTGCAAGACCATGTTCGTGTTGACATGTATTTCTGTTTGGCATGTAATTCGCCGATTTTCTTGAATTACATACGCATGCTTTCTTACCTCACAATATGTGTACGTGTATGTAACTACGCATATGCATATTGATGAGTGTATCTGTGTAGAAGCATGCAGGCATATTATGTATGCACATTTACGCATGCTGTGTCGATGTTTTTCGATGCTAGAAGTTGATTTGTAATCTTGGCAAATAGACAAACATCATAAGCCAGTAAAAATCTGAACAACTAGGTTCGCTAGGGAATCAGGTTAGTAAAAGAAGAAGAAATAAGCACTCAGTGAGTTGTGGAGAACAGTAAAACTACGCCATAAAGAATTAAACGCAACACTTGAGCAAACCAATTTGTCGAGGTTTTGTAAAAGTGTGACAAACAGTCGTAAGACGTTATAACACTAATTATAACAGCAATAGTTATATTAAGAACAATGAAAACAATACTAGCAATAATAACAGTCATAACAATTGTTACACGCAGAACAATAATAGTGCTAATAATGCTCATAACAATAATAGTAGCTCTAAAAAATGAAAATGAGAACGCTGATTTTTTTAAATAAGCTCATCTGCCCACTCTGAGGCAGCGCTCAGCTCTGAGGAGCCGCTTGCTTACGGCGATCCGGCCTTTCGTGCCCGGCCTGCAACCTAGAGACTCCAATATTCCTTAATTAAGGAATATACCTTAAATTATAGTAGGATCCCTAAAATGATTTAAGGTATATTCCTTAATTAAGGGATATTGGAGTCTCTGGGAACGGTTCCCCCTCAAAGGGTTCCTCGGAAGGGCTTGGGGTTTGAAGGTTTCAGGGTTTAGGGTTTAGTGTCTAGTGGTTTAGGGTTTAGGGGTTTCCTGTGGCCGAAAGGGCCTACTTTTTTAGGGTTTAGGGTTATTATGGTTTCTATATATACTTCCTTAAAAGGGTAGGTCTTTTCAGCTACAGGTCGGGTTTTAGGGATCCCTTTTAGGGTGCCGTTCAATTAAGGGTACCTTCGACTCTCGCAAAAGAACACCGCCACGGCGTTCCTTTTCTGTAGCTTTGAAGGCTCCTCTACTTAAAGGGTCATGGGACTTAGCGACTTCGTAAGTAGGCTATAATTGGGGTTATAAGTCCCCTAAGTGGGGCTGTCCGAAAATATTTCATTTACATATCCTTACTAAGTCCCGTGAGCCTTTAAGTAAGGGGCTTACGACTCTGTTGAGGTCCCTTCAAATTCCTTTTAAAGGTAGTGACTTAGGGCTTAGGGGTTTTAGGGTTCTTCAAGGGTTCACGTAAGGGCTTAGGGTTCAGGGCTCATTTTAGAGTCTGTTGTAAGGGCTTGCTAAGTTCACTTCAGGGATCCATGACGGGTCCTTGCAAGGGTTTCATTTACTTACTGGCTGTAATCTCAACTTTTCAACTGTTGGGGTTCTTATAAGGTAATCGATTCTGAAAGTTTCAACTTTACTTTCCTTGGGTTTTGGGCCAGTGAGTTTAAGATATGCTTCAAGGGCTTCGGGTTAAGAGTTTAGGGTTTGGGATTTAGGATTTCTGGGTCACTTCAGGGTTCCATTCCCGGGTTCCTTTAAGTGTTCCTTCACTTGAGGGTTGAGGGTTCGGAGGGATGTGGGCTTTCGCGTTCGTTTGGCTTCACTTAGGAAAGAGAGGCCTCGACAAGGGATTTTGGAAGGATTGTTCTGACGTGCAGATATAGTTTTGTGCCCCAAACCTAGACTTGTGCCCGCAACCCTGCTGAAAAGCCCATGGGACTGTGTTTACAAGTAAAGTTGCATGTAGGATAAGCCTACCTGAGGCACTCATTTCTCCAATTATAACCTTACTTACCAAGCCTCCTGAGCCTTTGAGTAACCAACTCCCCCTTATCTTTAGTCTCCTTAGGAATTCTTTTTGATTTTGTTCAAATAAAACTCAAGAGAATATTCAAAACAATATGTCTATTACGGTTCTAAGGGGGGTATACTTATAGATCCTCTCCAGAAACCCGAGGAGCCACTAAAAGGAACTCTACTTACGAAGTCCCATGTAGGTCCCTAAACCCTTAAAGGGAAGCCTATATGGTGCCCTTAAAAGAACCCTTCAAGGAACCCTACCTGGACCCCCCAAAGTAGGTAAAATAATGGCCCAAAACCGATAAAAGGCTATTATTCTATATACTTTTGGGGTTCAGCTACTTCCTAAGTCCCATTTAGGGCGTAGGCTGAAAACCAGCCCTCAAGCCGTAAGCGCAGGTGCTGCGACGCTGCAAAAGCGACGAGGCCGGTCTACAGGCTAAGGCTACATATGGGAGTTTCCGAAAATTAGAGGGTTCCTTTAGAGGGATCCCTTAAGGGTTCCTTTAGGGGATCTATAAGGGTTCTAGAAGGGGTTTAGTTAGGGTTTAGGGAGTTTCCGAAAATTAGGGGGTACCTGATTTTTTGGGGGTCCTTGTAATAAGGATCCTACTATTTGGGGTACTATATTAGGGTCCCCTATTTTCGGAAACTCCCATATGACTTCGTAGCTTCTATAGGTTTCATACCATGTATATACACACATCTATTCACATATATACATATGTATATACACACGTTGTTTATATCTTTATATTATATAGATAATTATATGCAAACACATACGTATGTATATTTATTCATTTATTAGTATATATATATATATATATGTCCATATACAGACGAATGCGCATACATTCATACATACATAAACACATACGTACATATACATGCGTGTTTTGCGTTACTGGTTTTCTCTATGTACTTTTTAAACAGGACTTGTATACGGGTTCCGATGGCCCTGTACTAATCTGAAAATGTTCTGGTGTAGGTTGTACTACATTTGTATTGGGACTGCAGGGACTAGTGTTGGTTTTAGTTTCGTTTTGGAAGGATGTTGGGTTTCTTGACATGCTCCTCAAAGGAAGCATTGTGAAATGAAAGTGTGTGTGTGCCCTTACGTGGACCCCCATGATTTCCGTCATAGATCACGTCACGAAACCTAATCTCTCAATGTCAAGCGCCTCTCACTGATGTACAGCCGTCAGAGACCTGTGAAACCTTTGCTAGAGCTCTTATAAGCTCGTACAAAGACGGTTCAGCGCTTCTAGATCCCCACCATACTGGTCAGCGAGGCGGTGGCATCTGACCTGCCTCCCAAGATTGAGCTGGCAGGGCCTGCCGATTTGCAGGGTTGCATAGGGCTTCATGCCCGGCATGTAGTCTGCGTTGTTTATCAGAGTATAACCCTAAATCTAATCCCTGAACTCTACATGTGAAGCCCTGACCGCGAAACACAAAGCCCTAAGCCCGAAACACTGAACCCTAAATCGAAACACTAAACCCTAAATTAGTTGAGTGGTTATTTCCTTTTCTGTTCCACCTGGACCAGCCGACCTTGAATTCATGTTTCCGTATTGGGGCTTCGGGGTTTTAGGGTTTAGGGGTTAGGGGCGATACCTAAAGCCTAAACCCTAATGGTATTTTGAGGACCCCGGCAGAGACCCTATTCTTATAAGTACCAGAAGCAAAAGCCGTTTGGATTGGTGGATTGATGTTCTAGGAGCCCAGGCACCCCCCCCCCCCCAGGGGATCCGATATCAGGCGTCGCGGGCGTTTCGATGAGGGTTCCCAGACCCTCCAACACTCCTAACTTACGAATATACCTTATATTACATCACACTACGGGTCCCCTTGTAACCTATGCTAGTCAGGCGTACTGAGCATTGTCCGTAGTTACAGGCTTTGGGAGAGCTCCTGGGTGTATTTCGATCGGGGACTGGTAAAGTCAGCCCGAAAAGGTTCAATGGCTTTTGGGGTTTATTCATAGCTCCTGTAAGGGCTAGAGCATAGGGTTTAGGTATGAGGGATTACGTAAAGGCCCAGGGGACTTAGCGAGTAAGCTTGAAAGCGAAGGATATCCCTGCTCAGGGAACATGCAACCCCATTATGCCTACTTGCTAGGTCCACTGAAGCCTTAAGCAGTTACTGGCAGAAGGTGCTTAACCATTAAGTCCTTTCGAGGTAGGAGACCCAAAAGCCCGAAACCCAAAAACCCTGACCCGAAACTCCGCATTTGTGCATTTGTGCCATTTGTGGTCACTCGAGCAAGTTTGCATGGCTAAGTGATGTCCTGGCGTATTGCCACGAATCTTAGACTTTGCAACTCATCCAGGGCAGCTCTAATCTCAAGTTGACGGCTTTAGAGGCCTTCTGAGGTTGCTTTGGGTGGCCATCACATTGGCAGATCTAAATCGCGCATATGCCTGGGCAATTCTTAGGGCCCTCCTTTCATAGCTTTGCGTTGCCTTCGATTCGCCACGGGCAGCAAGAAGGGATCTGGCAACGAGTTCCACCGCAATGTGAAGAATCATGGGGCGGCTCGCGAATCCGGATTTCCCCGGCACCAACGAGATATTCGTCATCAAGTTACCCTCCAAAATTCTACCATTTGCCGTGCTCCGTCGACATTCCTTTGCTGGAAGAGTCAGAGAGGTCCGAAAGATCGCGATCCATGAGCTTTGCTACAAGGACCTTAGCAACTATCATCTACATCCTTTGCTAGCACCTCAGGAACAGGAATGCGTTTTCATTTTCAGTAAACGGTATCCCTGACTATGCTGTAACTGACTATAGAAATCTTTATGTTGGGACTGGGGGACTTGTCGTAGGCAGTTTAAGTTTGAGTTGCGGGGTTTAGGGTTTAGGGTTTGGGGAGTCAATGTTGCGGGCCGCCAGGCCCAGCAAGCCTTAAGCCCTTTTTAGGGTCCAGGGTTTTGGGGTTTTTGAATCTCGTCAGGGTTTGCCGGTACCGTTTAGGCTGCCGAACCAGCCCCAAGCCTAAATGATCAGGGTCAGGCTCTAATACCGTATGCTTTCACTTCGACTAAAGCAGGGGCACTTCCAGCCTGTTCTTCGCTATGCAATTGCTGCTTTTGCCAGATGCACACCGTGATGCTCACCAGTGGGCAGCAGAAGCTGTACGAGGCTCGCTGTTAGGTACCTTGTATTCTTATATGTTGCCAGTTACCCTCAGCACTAAGCCCTAAAACCTGCCCAAAACCTTGAATCCTGAATCCGAAATCCAACTCGAAATCACTGAACTTGAAAATTAAGTCGACCGGCTTTGGTTCGAAGCTGCAGTCCTGGGTTGGACACAGTCCTCCGCATCCTGCGCCTCTTACATCAGAGATATCTTCAGAACCCATTGAACCAGAGAGCCTAATACCTTTCAATTATGGAGTATAGTCTAAGCTACCATATGAAGCCCCTTATGACCTTCGCGGGGTATTGGGCTTTCTGGGTACCTGCAGAGTCCATTCAGTACTAGAGTTCCTTATAATAAGGGTCCTACTATTTTGCCCACTATATTAGGGTCCCCCCATTTTAGGCAACTCCCATACCTTGAACCTTAAACCCCAGACCCTTCATGTGAACCTTAAACCTTGAACCCTGAACTCCTGCACCTAAACCCTATACATACCCCAAACCGTAATGAGGTCCTTAAGTTTAAAGCGGACGTGCCGCGTGACAAGCCTGATTTATGCAGAACCAGAGGAGCATTAGTACCTACATGTGGCATAAAGGCCCTCATCGTTTGAATGGGGCCTCTTTAAGGATCCCTTTATTACACGGATCCTTAAAGGTGTCGCTGAGGGATCTGTAGTAGGCTTCTATATAGGGGCCTGAATAATTTGAATAGGGTTTTGGGGGGGCCACTATACTATGATTATAACAAGGAACCGCCCCAAAAGTATTAGGCCCTGGTTTACGGTCGAGAGTCTAGAGCTCAGGGCCTAGTTCAGATCCCACATAGGGGCTATTATGGATGTGACGTAGAGGGCTCCGTTCTTTGCCGGCTCGCTTTTTTAAGCAAGCGAATGCAGGTGTTGCTGACACATGTGGACGAATCAAACAAAAGAAGCCTATTTTTTCCTGAAGGTTCTTGATTACGAATAGAGTATTTCTACTCCCGAGCCCGGTTCGAATTTCTTAAGTTCCTACCTTACACTCAACAACAGTTCCCTGGATTCCGTTTCTTTCTTTGAGGTTACCTCTGATTTTTTGGGTCAAGAACCTTGTAAGGGATTCTGAATAGTTACTACGAGTATTCCCATTTGGTTTCTCTGTAACAACAAAAGAATACTGCCCCAAACCCCATTCTAATTTTCAAGCCCGGATGTTAAACACAGAACGAAGTCGGACATATTGGTATGACACTTTTGGACGTGGGTAGTGCTCTCAATTTTGGGTCCTTTCAGGTCTACAAAATCGTACGGCACCCTTACAAAAAAGACTGTAAAGGGTACCCTAATGCAGAGAACTACCCACAACCCTAAACCCCTAAACCCTAACCCCTAAACCCCAAACCCTAAGAGGCCGTGCAGAAGAAGGAGCTGGATCGAGTTCTTGGAGCTGCAGAGGCACTCCCGGTCAAGGGAGTCGAGGGGTTGGGGTGTTAGGGTTTAGGGGATTAGGGCTTAGGGGATTTAGGGTTTAGGGTTTAGTGGCTTAGGGGTTTAGGGTTTAGGGGATCAGGGGCTTAGGGCTTTAGGGTTTGGGTTTTAGGTAAGGGGTTTGGGGTCCAAGGTAGTCGAGGTGTTAGAGGGTTTTCAGACGTTTTTATCGGTGTTACTTACAGTTTCTATGGGTTTGTTCGGGGTTGTACACTGGATTTTTATAGGTTTTTGCTAGGGTTTTACACGAGTTTACACGGGTTTGATTTTATAGGGTTTAGAAGGATTTAAGAAACAAAGTGTTTAGCATGATTTTGTAGAGCCTTACTCAGGTTCTTCCTTGCATCAGTGCCCAGTACGAAGTGACCCGATGGCCCCAAGCAGAAAGCCTTAAGCAACTGACAAACACGAAACCCTAAACCCTAAGGCCGTGGACAATGACCCCAACAATCAGCATCCGTATGCTAGACAGCACCTCAGCGACAAACTGCCCGATGGTAATGCCTCCACCTCCATCCGTGGTGAGTCAGACGTGAACTTCAGGCCAGATTTCCATGTGCAGTGTAGGGCTTCTTTTTTAGTCCAAGGGTTCCTTTGGACCCGGTAGTTTGGCATGTTGGCTTAGGGTGGTAGTTTTATATGTTTTAGGTACTTGGGGGGACCCTCAGGGTTTAGAAGAGCTGCGCCAGGACCCTAAAGCCCTGCAAGCCATACTATATAAAAGGCTTATGGGACTTAGTAAGCAGGGTTCCTTAAAGGGTCCCTTAAAAGGGATCTATAAGGGTTCTAGAAGAGGGTCTAGGGGTACTTGAAGCATCATGGGACTTAGTAAGTAGGTTATAATTGGGGTTGTAAGTCCTCTAAGTGTGGTTATCCTAATTATAACCTACTTAAAACCTTACATGCTAGGTCCCATGAGCCTTTAAGTACTAACATGCTTCCCAAACCGGTAAGACCCGCATTGAATTCCCGTGCAACTCTCCACGCCAGATGTGAAATCTTTCAAAACCCCACACCTTATGTTGACACTGTAAGCCCGTAACATGACAGCAGAACGACACAACAACACACGGAAAACCAAAGAACACAGCCCGCCAACCCCGAAGCTGTACCACCGTCCCGGTAAACCCTAAACCCCAAGCCCTAAACTCTTAAAGGGCACCCCAATATAGAAGCCCATAGTACTCTTAACAGGAGCCCTAACCCTACTTACTCTTTAAGGAGCCTCTAAGGAAAGAACCCTATAGATCCCGTATAGATCCCTTACAGGAGCCCTAAACACGAGAAGCCTTTCAGTCCCAAGCCCTAAAACCCAACCCTAAACCCTAACCCTAAAACCTAAACCCTAAACCCTAAAGCCCAACCCTAAACCCTAAACCCTAATTCCCAAACCAGGAGCGGTTGCGCCTGGAACAGCTGGGGAGCGACACTGCCGAGGAGGCGTTTGGAATTCAGGGTATACCAGGACCCTCAAGTACCTTTAAAGGGCTCTAATATTTCTCATTAAGAGGTAATTAGGGATTACAATAAAGGGTAGTTGGGGGGTTTTATGCTTGAGGGTTTAGGGTGTTGGTTTAGAGTCGAGGCTTTTGGGTTTAGGGCTTACTGACGGGTTTTGGGTTTAAGGGTTCACACCTTGGCTTTGTGGCTGAAGGATCTAAGGGTTTGGGGGTTTTGTTAGGCTTTGAGGGTTTTACAGCGTTTGGGGAGCGAGCTGGTGCGTAGAATGCGCAGCAGCTCAATGTTCATTGACTCAAGTCCAAAACTCTATAAACCCTATAAACCCTAAACCCTATAAAACCATATAAAACCCTATTCCGGAGAGCCGACAGGCATCACAAAACGGAAGTTATCCCTAGGAGGTGAATTTGTTCCTTGAGGCAGTCTGCTTGTAGCCCTAAGGGTCCATGTACCTTAAGGACCCTAAACTATGGGAACTATGGTATATTCCCTATAATGGGTATTGCAGGATATATTCCATCAACAGTTTCACGGTTCTATAAGGGACTCTGGGGTCCGTGTACCCATATAGCATATACTTTGGGCCCAATGTACCTATATAGGGGGTACTTTACTACTATTTGCTTAAGAACACCGAAAAAATATTCTTTATGGGGGTAATATAGGGATTATTATATTTTATTTTTTGGGTGTTTCTTAAGCAAATAGTACTTTAAGGCCAATGTATATACTATATGAGTACATGGACCCTTAGGGTAGACTTGGGTTGGCGTGCTGAGTTGATGTGGGCTTAGCAGATCAGATGCAGGATAAACTTTACCAGCTTTTTGCGAGGACTCCGACCCTAAAGCCTAACCTAAACGCTAAACCCTAAAGATAGCAGCTTCTTCAGGCCGTTGCTTGTGAATCCGAGTCTAGTAGCCATTTCAGAGTTTCTGAAGAATAGGAGTACCTTCTTTGGGGGTATATTAGGGTACTGTATTCCCTAAACCCTAGACCCCTCAACCCTAAACCCTAAACCAAATTAGGGTACTATATTGGGCGCACTGAATCTTCCAGGGCCGGAGTTAGGTGCCTTGGAAGATTTGGAATTTAGAGTCTAAGGTTTTGGAGTCGGGATCAGGGTTTACTGTAGGTGCTTCAATAATTACCTATACTATTTTGGGGGGTTCCTTCTTATTATCATAGCAAAATGGGCCCCAAAACCTTATTCTAATTATTGGGGCTTTCAGTGTTAACGTGTTCAGCGTTGAGGCTTTAGGGTCCCTAAACCCAAGACCCTAAACCCTAAACTGTGGCTTCGCATTGAAGAGTTTCTGCATTTGAGCTTCAGGGTGCAGGGATTCAGGGCCTAGGCTTTAGGGTCAGACCTTCCAAAATCCCTTAATTAAGGACGATACCTTAAATCATATTAGGGACCCTACTATAATTTAAGGTATGTTCCTTAATTAGGGGATTTTGGAAGGTCTGGGGGGTCTAGAGTTTCAGGGTTCCAGGGTAAGGATTTCCGGGTGTAGGCTTTTTTGGTTTCAGGGTTTAGGGTTTTAGTGTTTAGGCTTTAGGGTTTAGGGTAAGGGTTGAGGGTTTCAGGGTTTGGGCATCAGGAGGGTTTTCCTGGGTTCTACAAGTTTGGTTGTGCCCTGCAAGGTTTGTCAACTGCTTTGTACACTGTGTCGTGGCCTAACTGCCGGAGCATCTCCCCTCTTCGTCAATTAGTATAAGTGTGCTAGAAATCATAGAGTTTCCGAAAATAGGGGACCCTAATATAGTACCCTAAATAGTAAGATCCTTATTATAGGAACCCCTAAGTCAGGTACCCCTAATTATCGGAAACTCCCATATAAAACGCTAAACCCCTAAACCCTAAACACTGTAGATACCTCAAAACCCCTATGTCATCCCCCAGGCTCCTTTTGGCAACCATGAAACCTTAAAGCCCTGAAGCCAGAGAACACCCTTGTAGAAGGTTCGGTTAGGGTTTAGGGTTTGGGGTTAAGGGTTTAGCGTTTAGGTTAGCGTTTTGGGTTTAGGGTTTCGGCTTTAGGGTTTAGGGTTTGGCGTTTAGGGAATTAGGGTTTTCGGTTTTGGGTTTAGGGTTTAGGTTTGGGTTTAGGGTCAGGGATTTTATGGTGCAGGGTTTCGGGGTCAAGGACCCTCCTTGCACTGCTCCAGGCTTTGCTGGTGGGGGATACCCGTGTCCCAGTCTTCCGTCTTAAATCCCCTAAACCCTATACAAAAAACCCTGAACCCACCCTAAGCCCTAAACCAATTTATTATAATCAGCGTCAAGGATACCGAACCTTCTTCTTGAGCGAGTGAACGTAGGGGATAGGGCTTGACGCGGAGATTGTAGGCAAAAGGAGACGGCCTTGCGACATGACCCGCGAGTTGCGTTGCAGCCTACGGACAGGTCCCTCCATTTTATCGCAGCCATTCAGCTCGGCTGGCTCGGACATTCGTCTCGACGCCTCCCTAGTTGGCGATTGACTCTTAGGGTAGCGTGTCATGGCTTGCCATTCTGTGGACTACTGGATGGGGCAAGAACAAGCAGCGCTTGTCTTTCCCACCATGTCGCCAGGGGCCCGGTGGACGCAGCCGCGCTACATGCTTTCCATGTGTGCTAATGCCATTGCCATGCGAGCCCGAGCAGCTGCGAGGACCGATGCTGGTCTCATTTCACGTTCCCGCAGGCGGTGATACATCACCGTCTCTGCCGGGAGCGTGCGCTTCATCTCCAATCGTATGAGGGTGCGCTCGTGGTGCAGGTACCCAGACCCCCGGGAGGATCTAAAAAGTAGATCCCTTAATGGGGGTTCCTATAAAGTACCCTTAGTAGTATAGGGCCCCAAATTAGGGGATCTACTTGCCCTTATAGACCCCTAAACCCTAAAGGATCCCTTAAAGGAGCCCTTTAAGGAACCCTACTAAGCCCCAAATTGGGGGATCTACTTTCGAGATCCTCCCGGGGGTCTGGGTATTGGAGGAACAACACCTCCCCCGTGCCGACCTCAAAGCCAACACCCTAAACCCACCGTAAGCCCCAGACCCTAACGCTAAATCTTAAACCCAAAACCCGAAACCCACCCTAAGCCCAAAACCCAAATGACCTTAGACCCAAAACCCTAAACCCACCCTAAGCCCCAAACCCTCAACCCAACACCCTAAACCCACCCTAAGCCCCAAACCCTAAACCCAACACCCTAAACTCACCCTAAGCCCAGAACCCTAAACTCACCCTAAGCCCCAAACCCTTCCCCCCCTAAGCCCAAAACCCAAAAGACCTTAAACCCAAAACCCTCAACCCTAAACCCATATTCCAGCAACCAGGCCACCAGCTCAGCGACAATCCCGGCATCGGTGCGGGCAAAGGAGGCCCACTGGAGCTGGTGGTCGACTGGGTTGTACGGTTTAGGGTTTAGGGTTTAGGGTTTTAGGGTTTAGGGTTTTCCCCTATTATTTTGTAGAGAACCATAATAGTAAACAGTTTTCAAAGGGCTTAAAGGGCAACTCGGTGGAGAAGAGCTTTTTTTAGGCTTAGGGCCTCAGGGTTTAGGGTTCCATTTAGGGTTCAGGGTTCCTTTAACGGGTCCTTTTCGGGTTCTATAGGGAGTTGTTGCGTTTGGGGGCTTTGGGGTGTAGGGTTTAGGGGGTAGCGGTTTAGAATAATAAACCTATGGAGTCGGCCCTGAACCCCTAAACTATGGATTTGGCTTCCCATGGTTCAGCCTCAAAGGGGACAAGGAGGGACCCTTAATGGGGACCCCCAGCCATAGGGAAGAGGGTTCCTTTAAAGGGGTCTACAAGGACTACTATAAGGGGCTAGATTGAGGGTTTAGGGTTTAGGATATAATGGGTTATATAATGGGTATACCATGGCTAGATTAAGGGTATATACCTAGGGGTCCTTATTAGGGGTCCCTCCTTTCACCCTTTGACATCAGACCGATCAGTGTGGGTCCATCCTTGAGGCCCTGCCAGCACCACCCAAGTACCCTTCAAAGGCTTAGGGTTTAGGGTTTAGGGTTTAGGGTTTTTGGTTTTTAGATCACGATGAGGGGGGGGAGTGGGGGGGGTGCTGGTTGGCCTTAAACCCTCAACCCCAAACCTTAAAACATTATTACACTGAACTCAGCGTGTAGGGGTTTAGGGTTCAGGAGCCCAACTCCTAGAACCCTTGACCCTGAAACGCTTAAATACTTACCAATACTATTTTGGGGGTTCCTGATTATAAGTATAGTAGAATGGGCCGCAAAGCCCTATTCTAATTATTAAGGCCCTAAGTTAACAGCCCAAAACTCAGCATCCGCAAGCTGTACAGACACTAAAGATGCCCCAGGTGCTGAGTACGCTGCATGCCCTGCAGCAAATCTGCAACCATCCACAGGCACTCGGAAGTAAACATTGGCGGCTCGATTCAACTCAAGAGGTGTGGATTTGAAACCCTAAACTTAAAAACCCGACATCCCAGGCCCTGCACCCTAACTTAGTAGCTGAGTGGATACACTTTACACTGTTTGTGATAATACTAGCCACTATAAAACTGAAAGTGTACACTTTTTGGGGCTTATGAACTCAGCAGCTAGGCTAGCCCTGGGTTCATGGCTTGGGGATTCAGGGTAAAGGGCTCATCTCGAACGTTTTGTGCGTTGAGGGCCAAGCGTTTAGGAGCTCGTCATTAGCACCAAAACCAAAACTGCTGGGCTTTGAGAGCCATGCTCTTTCAGACCCCTAAATTGCAAACTTCAAAACCAGACCTAGACCCTCCATCTACCCTCTACTAGACCCTAGATGCCCCGTATTTGGGACCATATACCCCTATTTGAGGGTACTACGGTTGATGATATAAATCCTGCATTACCCATAATAATAAGGAATATACCATAATTCCCATAGTTTAGGGTCCTTGAGGTAATGCAGGATTTATATCATCAACCGTAGGAGGGTCCTGGGAGAATCGCGGACTCGTGGAGTTCAAAGCTTCAATTAGGATGTCCTTAAGGGGGGGTGGTCCAAGGGGGGTAGGTAACCTAGTAATCCCCATTATTCCCCAATACTCCCTAAGCTTCCCTAAGGTTCCCCAAAGCTCCCTAGTACCCTCCCCCCTTGAACCACCCCCCCTTAAGGATCCTATAATTCAAGGGTGTCGGGGTTTCCTTGCCCAGATTGATTTTTGAGGGGTTTGCTTCATTCAAAGGGGAAAAGGAGGGACCCTTTGAAAGGGATCTATGGGAAGTCTATCAGGGTATAGGGTTTAGGGTTTAGGGGGTAGTTTAGGGGGTTTAAGGGGGAAAAGGAGGGACCCTTAATGGGGACCCCTACCCCACAATGGGCTATATAATGGGTATATTAAGGGTATATATTCAGGTATATACCTAGGGGTCCTTGTTAAGGGTCCCTCCGTTTACCCATGGATTCATGCTCGAAACCAGGCTTTGCCAATTTAGGGTTCATAATAGGGTTTAGGCAGTGGCTTCACACTGCAGCAGTTCTAGAGAACATTGATACGGATCCGTGAAGCAGGTAATGTGGGAACCGATATATTATGATCCCTATTAAGAACCCTGAGAAGGACCTGCAAGCTTTCTTACGGACCCGTGACGTAGGGCCTGGAACAACCTCCATAAACCTGTGGCTTTAAGTTTGGAAGAAGAGGCTGGTACTAGATCTATCCGAGCTCCCAGGAGCATCCCAAATAGTAGATCCCCGAGTTTCATACACCCGAAACCCTAAACCCCAACCCTTGTAATGTAGGCACTTGTAATGTAGGCACCTGATTAATTAAGAAACCATGGCCCTGTAATCCTAATACATTGGGATCCTTTTAAAAAAACCCAATAAGGACTCAAGGCTTCTTAATCGGGTTCCGACATTAAACCCTGAAGCCCTCAAGTGTCCATTCTGAGGCCACCCGAGCTGTCACGCCAGGCGCCTGAATTCAGCAAGAGTCCAGAGACGCACGTCACAGATTTTGAGGGGTTTAGGGTTCAGGGTGTAGTTGTTAGGTGGTTTAGGGTTTAGGGTCTATAAGGTTTAGGGGGTTCAGGGTGTAGGGTTTAGGGGGTTTAGGGTTCAGGGTGTAGGGCTTAGGGTTTAGAGTCTAGGGTTTAGGGTTCAGGTTATAGAGTTTAGGGGTTTACGCTATCGGGTCATTCGAACGTTGTTGGATTTGTTCGGGGCTCAGCTTTGGGCAGTGTTGCTCTGTTGATATCGGAAGAGCCTCCTACTGTTGATGGACAAAATTCTGCATTACCCTTTGTAAGGAATATGCCATAGTTTCCATAGTTTAGAGTCCTCAGGGTCATGCAGGATTTTGTCCATCAGCAGTACGCTGGGTTCTTTGGTTGGCTTTCTTCATGTGGAATCCTCGTCAGGACCACAGATACGAAATCTCCGATTTCTGGCTCCTGTTTATTGCTGCTCGAGCTTCGCTTTGGACCTCAAGAAATACTGACCAAAACCCCACACTTGTTATGGCTTCTCTGAGTCGGGCCCTTTGGGTTTTAAGACTTCCGTAAATTGCCATAGCTTAGAAGCTGCCCCCACCCTGTTATAAGGATTATATGAGGGCCCTATTATATTCCCCACTATTACAGGGTGGGGGCCCCTTCTAAACCATAGCCGTGGAGTCCTGCTTGAACTTAAAGGTCAGTCAGCCAAAGATCCTTAATTCTGCACCCTAACCCAGAGACTCCAATATCCCTTAATTAAGGAATACTCCTTAAATTATGGTAGGATCCCTAATATGATTTAAGGTATATTCCTTAATTAAGGGATATTGGAGTCTCCAGGAAACCCGAATCCTACAGAGTAGCTGAGTAGGTAACCCTTAACCTTTTTGGGGCTTATAAACAATCCGACCATTTTTGAAAAGGTTAACCTTGTTTCGGGCTAGGATGTTCAGCCAATAAGCCTAAATGCTGGAAGCCCAAAGTGAGCCAAGGAACAGCGGAAAGATGGCCAGGTTGTTGGCACTTCTCGAAGAGGCTTGGAAACTGACCTTAGGGTTTATAGGGCTGTTGTGGGGTTGGGATTTTACGGTTTAGCGTTTAAGGTTTTGAGGTTTTGAATTATGAAGTGTTTACGGGGGGTTAGTGTTCAGGGTTCAGGCTTAAAGGTTACGTAGCGGTTGTAGGGCTCAAGGGCCTTAGGCCTGTGTTGCAGGGTTCCTTTCCGGGTTATGAAGGGCTGAGGGTGTCCGATGTAGACCCCGAGCCACCTATCATACTGGAAGTGAGCTGTTATGAGGGGTTTTGGTCTTCGTATATTAATATCAGTGCCCTAGGATGCGCTAGGTGGTTTTCCTCCCAATATAGCCTTACTGAATAAGTAAGTGAAAAGTAACACCCCTCAGATTCCTGAGTCAGCTATATCTACTCTATTATACCCCAAGGAACCCTGTTTCAATTGAAGTTGCTACAATGCGGTATGAAACCACACAAACCCTCATGTGCCCGCGAACCAAAACCACCGAAAGCTTTGTTCCAAGCATCAAGGCCTTACGTTAAGCTTTGAGGGTGCAGTTTTGTGCCACAAGGTTTGCAGGTTCGGACAATTGCCCTTTCCCTTTGTGGTCTAAGGCTCATGGGACTTAGTAAGTAAGGTTATAAGTAGCCTGTAATCAGGATAACCCCACTTAGGGGACTTATAAGCCCAGTGACAACCTACTTACTACGTCCCATGATCCTTTAAGTAGCCCAAACTCCCCCTTATAGATCCCTTATAGATCCCTAAGTGCCCAATACCAAAAAGGGAGCCCTGATTGTTCTTAGGTTGCTTGATTAGGAAGCCGAACCTAGACCCCCCCCAACTACTCTCCACTATATCTTAAATGCCCACTGTCAAGGACCATAAGGGTTCCATCAAAGGGCACTTGGGGGTCCTGCTATACCCTAAACCCTAAAACTAAACTCTAAAGGAAGGAAGACGATTGAGGCCCCTATATTATAGAACCCTACTGTAGACCCCTTATAGACCCCTTTCAGGAACCCTTTAAAGGAGCCATATTCTGATTATTAAGGCCCCTACAGTAGTTTCTTTAAGAATTTCCCTAAACCCTAAACCCTATAGTAGTTTCTTTGGGAATTTTGGGGCCCAGGGTCGCCTTAGCAGGCTCTGTCGCCTCGGGATGCAGGCCGCGAAGGCAGGCGGAACTGGGTGCAGAAGGGCGTTTAGGGTTTAGGTTTTGGGAGTTTGTAGGTAGGGTTTAGAGTTGTTATAGTTTTAGGGCTTGAGGGCTTTAGGGCAGCTCTCTACCCAGACGCTCCAAGATCTCTGATACAGTTTTTGTCGGAAAATTCCTTACATCATATTATAGAAATCCTGCTATAACTTACGTATATGTTAAGGTATATTCTTCAATTGTAATTAAGGGAGATTGGAGTCTCTGGGTAAATCAGGGTCCCTCTGAGGGTCCTGTTTAAAATATTGCCGTACTATGTTGGGGACCTAAAAAGGGACCCTATTTTACAGAACTACCCACTAGGACCCAGAGTAGGCCCTTATTCCCTTTTTAAGGGAACAGGTTCCCTTATAAGCCCCTTTAAACCAAAAAGGGCACCCTTTTTCTTCGTAGGTTACTCTTGGGCCTAGTTAATAGGGTTTTAGAGTTGTAAGGCTTTGGGGCTTTAGAGTTGAGGCTAGGGGGTTGAAGGGACATGCTTCCCGAAGGATCCCAAGAGCGCATGCGTGACAGACACCTACGCAATCGTGATGTTTGTAGTACTTTCCCACTAGAGACCTTACTTTGCACGTACGATGTACGTACATAGGATCTCTTCAGATATGTACTAAGCTTTCCTAAGCTCCAAAACCTAAACCCTCGATGCAAAACTCCAAACTCCTACGCCTTAAACCCTGAACCGTAACACCGAAACCCAACACCCAAGACGGTTAAAATATCCGCCCCCCAATACTGGCCCGGCTTGACCTGCAGCATTGCCTGTACTGGTATGCCTCTGCGGTCTAGCATTGATTCGTATTGATCCTGTCCCTTCCTTCCGCGGAAGAAGCATTCGGGCTTTGGGGCGCAAATTTTGGGATTTAGACTTTCCGTTGTAGGTCTTAGGTTCAGGGATATAGGCTTTGAAGGGTTAGGGTTTAGGTTTGGGGATTTAGCCTCAGGTTTACGGCTGCACGGTTGAGCGGTGTCTCCAAGCCTTGACATTCTCGCAGTACCTCATGGAGAAGTGTCAGTCAGGAAATCAAGTTGACATACTGAACGAAGACACCACAGTGCCAACTGTCGCAGCGAGACTGCGATGCATGGACCAGCCGGGAAATCAAGTTGCACCAACGCGTCTAAAGCAAAGCTTACCTTTAACTACCAAATCCTATCTTTTTGTAGGTTCTTCTTATGAGCCCTAGTATGAAATATATCGCGACCCTACAAAAAAGTAGGTTTTGGTAGGTTATTAGGGTTTAGGGCAGTCAGGCTTTCGGGTTCCGCTGTGTTTTCGTCTGAGTTCTTGACTAGGATGCCCAGTAGTACCCTTATTCCCTTTTTGTAGTCCTAGGTTCCTTATAAAGTTACCCAATACCAAAAAGAGAGGCCTTTTTATTCTTAGGTTACTGGGTATCCTAGCTCCCTAAACCCTAAACCCTAAACCCCTAAACCCTAAACCTCAAACCCTAAACCCTAAACCCTAAACCCCTAAACCCCTAAACCCCTAGAACCCCTAACCCCTAAACCCCTTTTTCAAAAGCCCCGAGGGTATCCTAGTTGAGGTTTCGAGGGTTTCAGTCGGGCTTTAAGCAAGACTGCCCACTTAAAGGCTCATGGGACTTAGTAGGGTTCCTTTAAAGGGCTCCTTAAAGGGATCTATAGGGTTCCTTAAAGGGATGTATGGGGTTTAGGGTTTAGGGTCTACTTAAAGGCTCATGGGACTTAGTAAGTGGGTTATAACTGGGGTTATAAGTCCCCTAAGTGGGGTTATCCTAACTATAACCTACTTATAACCCTAGTTACTAAGTCCCATGAGCCTTCAAGCAGACCTTCCAAAATCCCCTAATTAAGGAATAGACCTTAAATCGTATTAGGGATCCTACTGTAATTCAAGGTATGTTCCTGAATTAGGGGATTTTGGAAGGCCTGGGTGTTATATAGTCAGAGATTTGTTTGGAAGGGCTTCGGATGCTTAAGTACCGGGTTTGGGAGGTGTTGAGGTCGGGCGGCGGGCGAATTAGGTTTTTAAGGCTTAGGTTTTGAGGCTTGGGAACTTGAGTTTTAGGCTGGTGGGTATGAAAGTTTGGGAATTTCCGAAAATAGGGGACCTTAATATAATACCCTAAGTAGTAGGATCCTTATTTTAAGGACCCCAAAATAAGGCACCCCTAATTTTCGGAAACTACCGTTTGAAGGGGAGCTTTCAGTGTTCAGGACTCTTCGGGCTTCGGGTTTGTCAAAGACTTTTAGTTTGCACCCTAAACGTTCGTAACCCTAGGTTTGGGGTCCCAAATACCCCTATTAAGGGCCGTATTCCATGGTTTAATTTAGGGACCCAAACCCAAGGGTGCAAAGGAAAACTCCTTGAGTCCTAAACCCTAAACCCTAAACCCTAAACCCTAAACCGAATTTAGTCAGGGCTCGGGGTTGACCAGAAGCAAGGGGCAAACACACAACAACCACACATTGAAATCTGATCCTTAGTAGCTGTAGCTGAGCAGGTAACTTTTAACTTCAAGCTTGTGGGGTCTATACATTCCTACCATAATTTAGCAGGGGGGGCTAGGGTACTCAGCCCCTATGTAGCAGGTTTCTAAACCCTATAAGCCCTGAACCCTGCAAACCCGAAACCCCAAACCATACAAACCCTAGGCCCTAGTCCCAAAGCCTTCAACCCTAAACCCTAAACCTTCCCCCACGTTATGTCTAGCGCAAGCCTGTAACCTAATTACCTTTTTAGGGTTCCTTATTATGGTTTCCTTGTACAAATCCTCAAACATGTAGGGTCTTCCGGGTTAACGTAGTCCCAAAGCTTTGCCCTACTTGGAGGGTCGGGGGACTTAGTAAGTAGGTAGTAAGTAGACTTATAAGTACCCTAAAAGGGACCCTCATTGGGGTTATGGTACTTATAAGTCCCTAAAATAACCAGTTACTAAGTCCCCGGACCCTCCAAGTACTCTAAACCCTAAATAAACCCTATACCCTTCTAGAACCCTTGTAGATCCCTTTAAAGGGACCCTTAAGGAACCCATTATGTTGCTAAGTCCCCGGACCCTCCAAGTACGAATGACAGGAGAGAAGGTCCTCATCTTCACCCAGTATGCCGGAGCTTCAGTTCAGGGGTCCTCAAGGGTTTAGGGCTCCTTAACGGATCCATAGGGTTCAGGGGCTTAGTGGCTTAGGGTTTAAGGCTTTAGGGGTTTATGGGGTTTAGGGATTAAGGGTTTAGGGTGTAGGGCTTAGGGTTTAGAGTCCTCGACCCTTCCCAACCTTTAGTGTTGTTAGGAAATCTTTGCTCTGAAAGACAGGACTACTCCAAAGTTGTGTTTTGTTTCGGTTCTAAGGGCGCTGAAGTATCCCCATACATTCTAAATCCCTGAGCCTCAAAGCCTCAATCCCTGAAGCCCCGCGTCCCATAGCAGAAAGACCTCCACCCGAACTTGCATTAAGGCGAGCACATATCGGTGGTTGTCAAAATTAGGGTCCCTTTTTGAGGGTCCTTCTTATAATACGGCACATTTTGTTCAGGGTGCCCAAACAGGGGCCATAATTCTGACAACCACCCATATGCTGCAGGAATTCGGGGTCCAGGGTCATGCCATCTCCTTGGACGGGGACTTATTCATTGGCCACAATCCCGAAAAGGTTGATGCAGCAGCCTCAAGTCCGTACATCAAGTGACTTAGGCATAGGTTGCAACTTGGATCGTAGGTGCCTTTTGTGGGGCTGCCCGTAGCCATAACCCTACTTCCTACTCGAATTATTTGCGCATGCAAGCAAATTTTTGTCGAAATGACCATTTGTAAGCTTCGAAAGATTGCGCGAAGAGAATGCCGACCAGGAGCAGACTGTAAAGCCCGAAACCATAGGCCTAATTAGTCTAGTCTGGTCTAGTCTAGTAGAGTTTGTACAGTATGCTGTAACACCATTCCCTAAATCCGACCTGGGATCCTACTACAATTTCAGGTATATTCCTCAAATGAGGGTTTTTGGAGGCTGTTGGCCCGTGTACGGGTTGGAGTGCAGGGTTGAGCGCTCTCCGTCCCAATTGGCAGACCGTTGTATGCCAAATCATCATCGACGACACAGAGAGCCCGATACCCCTTAATTAAGGAATATTGTGTAGGGTTCCTTTGAGGGATCTAGAGGGTTTGGGGGATTCTAATACCCCTTAATTAAGGCATATAGCTTAAATCAGAATATGACAGGCATATTCCGTAATTGAAAGATATTGAATTCAGGGCCCTACTTTATGCTTAGGCAGTGCTGTGGAACTCCGACTCCAACACCCTAGTACTTACAGGATCATGGGACTTCGTAAGTAGGTTTTGGTCCTTTCAGGGATCTATAAGGGTTCTATAAGGGTGAGTTTAGGCTACTTAAAGGATCATGGGACTTAGTAAGTATAGGATATAATTGGGGTTATAAGTCCCCGAAGTGGGGGTATCCTAATTATAACCTACTTATAACCTTACTTACTACATCCCATGAGCCTTCAAGTAAACCTGATGCCGCCTGATCAAGCACCTGCAGGCCACAACATCCGCAATTCAATGTTGTGTGGCTTGAAACGCGAATGAAGGGCCCCTTGGATATAGAATTTTTAAGCAGGATGCTTATCACAAGAGCCTTGCGAAAATGGCCGCAATGTGGCCAAGTAGGTTGTAAGCAGATGTTTGATTCATTTATCTTTCCTGGTCTACATTTCGTCCAACAGTAAACGTGACCTACGTGTTCCATTACCTCTAAACACATTAAAGTCTGATTCTCAAAACTCCTTAACACCTAGGCGATGCTTCCCAGTTGCCCTACACCCTTACCCCGAAAGCTTAAACTCTAAATCCGAAACCCTAAACCCTAAACCCTAAACTCTAAACCTTAAGCCCTAAACTCTAAACATAAATCCCTACTTCCCAGGTGCACACCGTCCAGCTCCTACAGTGGACCATCGAGAAAGCCTTTCCAAGTACCAAGGCACTTTGCTGTGAGCTTGATATAGGGCCCTTAAAGGGAACTCCAGAAAGTTGGAACATGGCTTCATGGTAGGATACCCTATAATTTACCATAGAAGGGTTAGGATAATCATATTCCAACTTTCTGGCTTTTACCTTAATAATTAGAATAGGGTCCTTTTAAAGGGATCTCTAAGGGGTACCATCTGGGTTATTATAAGGATGTCATATAACAGGGCCCTTAATAATTAGAATAGGGTTCTTTTAAAAGGGTTCCTTTTAAAGGGGCTACTATAAGGGTTATTATAAGGATGTCATATAACAGGGGCCTTAATAATTAGAATAGGATGTTGGCCATTATATAGTTCTCAACCACCAGAATAGTATTGGAAATATGCAGGCCCCTATAGTCTATAGTACAAAGAGAGCCCAATACTCCTCAATAATGGAGTATGCCTTAAATTATACGGGGCTTCGCATTATGATTTCAGGTATATGCCTTATCTATCGAATCTCTGGGTATGCACTTCACACGGTTCAGGGTTAGTATCAGGCCGGGTTTAGAGGTTCAGGGTTTGGAGTCGTAGGGGTTTAGGGCTTTAGGGGTTAGAGTTTAAGGTGTAGGCTGCCTTACCATGGCTTAGTAAGTGCTTCCCAGGGCTTGGTAGCTTAGCCATTGAAGGGTTCGGGGCCGCAGGTCTTGGCAGAACGCACGGCGGCGGTTTAGGGTTTCGGGATTTAGGGCTTCGGGCTTACAAGGTGTCGGGTTTAGGGTTCGAAGGCTGGGTGCGATTGCATTTCTTGCCGGATGTCTTGCGTTGCACGCTGGCAGGTTCTTCTTGTCCCAGGAATTGTACGGTGGGGCTCATGTTTAAGGTACTTCCAGCCGGCCACCTGCTATCCGAGAAAGCTTTAAACCTTCCCCTTTAACAGAGCCCTTGTGGTCCTGAAAAGCGGGTTAAGGGTCTGTAGTAACGAGTAGTTGAGGACCTAGGTAAAGCCTAAACCCTGAATCCTGAATCGCTACACTCTAAATCCTCAACACTAAACCCCAAACCCTAAACCCAAACCTCAAACCCTGAACCCCTCCTAGACCCCCCAAACTACCCCCTAAGATACCCCAATGCCACTAGAGGTATCCAAGGAGTCCTAAACTCTAAACCCCTAAGCCCTAAGCCCTAAACCAATCCCCCTATCCCCCTACCCCCTAACCCCTAGACTCTAAACCCCTAAACCCTAAACGCCTAAACCCTAAACCCTAAACCCCTAAAGCCCTAAACCCCTAAACCCTAAACCGAAGGTCTTAGCCCGGGCGACTCCGGAAGTGCACCTCTGAACACCTCACGTCTTTCGGATTAGGGCCTAGGGTTAGGGTTTAGGGTTTAGGGTTTTGGGTTGATGATATGCATCCTAGGGTTCCTTTAATTACAGGGATCTATAATGGTACCCTTAAGGGGCTCCTTTAAGGGATCTCTAGGGTTTAGGGTTTAGGTTGATGATAGAAGTCCTGCATTACCATCATGACCCAAGACTATGAGAATCATGGTAAATTCTGTATTATGGGTATTTTCAGGAGTTACGTCATCCACCGTAAGGCTGACAGCTTGAAAACTAAACCTTCGAAAATAGCGGCGCCGGAACCCTAAATCCTAAACCCTAAACCCCTAAAACCCTAAACCCCTAAAACCCTAAACCCCTGAACCCCTAAACCCTAAACCCCTAAACCCCTAAAAACCCTGAACCCCTAAACCCTAAACCCCAAACCCTAACATCCTCACCATTACCATTCCTGGGGGGCTTCTGAATATCTCCTTACGACTATCTGGTTCTTAGTAGGGAATGCGGGAATGGGTTATGGGGACTATAATTGGGCAATATATCCTGGGTTGTCCTTTGGGATCTTTTTTAATTTCCCCTATTATTTTGTAGAGAACCATAATATTATATAAATAATTTTCAAAGGGCTTAAAGGACAACTCAGTATATATATATATATATATAGAGGGACTACTATAGGGATCCTGTCCCCCATTCCCTACTTAGCACGAGACAGAGGATATAGACGAAGCGCCAGGCTCGAAGCAACACCGAAAGGATCCGCTGGGCTTATCTGAGATGAGATTTTAGGATTTAGGGCCTAAGGGTTTAGGGTTTTGGGTTTCGGGCTCATGGTTAAGATGTCTATTGGATTCAGGGTTTAGGGAGTAAGGTTTGTGGTAAGCGTTGCAGGGTTTAGTCGGCATGTTGGCCATGGACTGATCCAAACCTGGTGTCTGCATCATGTCATTGACCGTTGAGGTAAGCCTCCTAAGTGGCAAGACAGTGTCGCTGCAGACACACGAGGACGATTCCGCAACCCTAAGCCCTAAACCCTGAACCCTAAAACCCTAAACACCCTAAAACCCTTAACTTCCTAAACACCCTAAACCTTTTAACCCCTGAACCCTAAACCGTGCAGACACACGAGGACGAATCTGCAGAGTCGCTGCGAGTGCGTGCGCAGAAAGCACTGGGATCGGGCAAGGGCCGACTCTTGGACTCCAACGGAGGCGTTCTCGATGGACGAAGGCCGTTAAACAGATCCAGGCTGCAGAATGCGGAGGCGAATTCGGATCCAGAGACGCTTACGTTGCAGGTCCGACGAGTCGATGTATGTGGCGGATCGAGGGCCTTTGCTGCCATCGTTGGGGATGGCTCTGTCGTGTCCTGGGGCCATGTTGACGACAGCACAGTGCGAGATCAGCTGAAGAATGTGCAGCAGATTCAAGCAACTAAGAGCGCCTTTGCTGCGATCATCGGGGATGGATCCGTGGTGACATGGGGCGATGCGAGCTCTGGTGGTGACAGCCAGGCTGTGCGAGATCAGTTGCAGGATGTGCAACAGATTCAATCAACTCAATATGCCTTTGCCGCGATTCTTGGGGACGGCTCCGTGGTGACCTGGGGCGATGTCGACTTCGGTGGTGACAGCAGTGGTGTGCTAGATCAGCTGCAGAATGTGCGCCAGGTTCAAGCAAATGAGGAGGCCTTTGCAGCGATCCTTGCGGATGGCTCTGTCGTGACCTGGGGCGATGTTGCCTTCGGTGGTGACTGCAGTGCTGTGCAAGATCAGTTGAAGAATGTGAAGGAGATTCAAGCAACTAAGCTGGCCTTTGCTGCGATTCTTGGGGACGGCTCCGTGGTGACCTGGGGCGATGTGGGCTCCGGTGGTGACAGCAGCGCTGTGCAAGATCAGCTGCAGAATGTACAACAAATTCAATCAACTGGATTGGCCTTTGCTGCGATTCTTGGGGACGGCTCCGTGGTGACCTGGGGCGATGCCGATCTCGGCGGTGACAGCAATGCTGTGCGAGATCAGCTGAAGAATGTGCAGCAGATTCAAGCAACCATGTATGCCTTCGCTGCGATCCTTGGGGATGGCTCCGTGGTGACCTGGGGCGATGCTGATGACGGTGGTGACAGCAGTGGTGTGCTAGATCAGCTGCAGAATGTGCGCCAGGTTCAAGCAAATGAGGAGGCCTTTGCAGCGATCCTTGCGGATGGCTCTGTCGTGACCTGGGGCGATGTTGCCTTCGGTGGTGACTGCAGTGCTGTGCAAGATCAGTTGAAGAATGTGAAGGAGATTCAAGCAACTAAGCTGGCCTTTGCTGCGATTCTTTGGGACGGCTCCGTGGTGACCTGGGGCGCAGCGGGCTACGGTGGTGACAGCGACCATGTGCGAGATCAGCTGAAGAACGCGCAGCAGATTCAATCAACTGAGCGTGCCTTCGCTGCGGTCCTAGGTGACGGATCCGTCGTGACTTGGTGCATGTGGGCAGGTGGTGACAGCAGTGGCGTGCAAGATGAGCTGAAGAATGTACAGCAGATTCAAAATACCGCGGCGGCCTTTGCTGCGATCCTTGGGGATGGATCCGTCGTCACCTGGGGCAGCGCTGTCTGTGGTGGTGACAGCAGAGCTCTGCGAGATCAGTTGAAGCATGTGCAGGCGGTTCAAGCAACTGCGCAGGCCTTTGCTGCGATCCTTGTGGATGGCTCCGTGGTGACCTGGGGCGATGTCGACTTCGGTGGTGACAGCATTGGTGTGCTAGATCAGCTGCAGAATGTGCGCCAGGTTCAAGCAAATGAGGAGGCCTTTGCAGCGATCCTTGCGGATGGCTCTGTCGTGACCTGGGGCGATGCTGCCTTCGGTGGTGACTGCAGTGCTGTGCAAGATCAGTTGAAGAATGTGAAGGAGATTCAAGCAACTAAGCTGGCCTTTGCTGCGATTCTTGGGGACGGCTCCGTGGTGACCTGGGGCCATGCGGGCTCCGGTGGTGACAGCAGCGCTGTGCGAGATCAGCTGAAGAATGTACAACAAATTCAATCAACTGCATTGGCCTTTGCTGCGATTCTTGGGGACGGCTCCGTGGTGACCTGGGGCGATGCGGGCACCGGTGGTGACAGCAGTGGCGTGCAAGATGAGCTGAAGAATGTACAGCAGATTCAAGGAACCGCGTCGGCCTTTGCTGCGATCCTTGGGGATGGATCCGTCGTCACTTGGGGCAGCGCTGTCTGTGGTGGTGACAGCAGCGCTCTGCGAGATCAGTTGAAGCATGTGCAGGGGGTTCAATCAACTAGTTATGCCTTTGCTGCCATCCTTGGGGATGGCTCCGTAGTGACCTGGGGCGATGCGAGCTCTGGTGGTGACAGCCAGGCTGTGCGAGATCAGTTGCAGGATGTGCAGCAGATTCAAGCAACTCAACACGCCTTTGCTGCGATCGTTGGGGATGGATCCGTGGTGACCTGGGGCGATGTCGACTTCGGTGGTGACAGCAGTGGTGTGCTAGATCAGCTGCAGAATGTGCGCCAGGTTCAAGCAAATGAGGAGGCCTTTGCAGCGATCCTTGCGGATGGCTCTGTCGTGACCTGGGGCGATGCTGCCTTCGGTGGTGACTGTAGCGCAGCGCGAGATCAATTGAAGAATGTGAAGGAGATTCAAGCAACTAAGCTGGCCTTTGCTGCGATGCTTGGGGATGGCTCCGTGGTAACCTGGGCCAGTTGCATTGGCGGTGACAGCAGTGCCGTGGGAGATCAGCTCAACATATGTAGCAGTGTGGCGGATGCAAGCAGCTGATGCGACCGTTTATGCGATCCGTGGGGAAGGCTCCGTCGTCAATTGGGGTGAAGCTGGCATCTGTGGTGACGGGTGCGCTGTACGACATCAGCTGAGCAGCAACTACCCGCAGCAAACGAAACAGTTCTATACAAGGTCGTGCTCTTCTTCTGTGTTCTAGCACATTTCATGGCTTTCCGCAGTAGTCCCCAATTTCCTCATCCCTGAGTTCTCAGCGCAGGTTGTGATGCCCGTTTCGTTTGAGCGCCCCCTGATGATTAAAACTGAATATTACAGTAGGGAAAAGGGTGTCCTTCTTATAAAGGGGTTACTCAGAAACCGAGCCTTTTAGGGTCTAGGGTTTACTTTAACCCTGAACAACCTGCCCTTGTAGGGTTCCTGATTATGAGTTCCTTATACAAGTCCTTAAACATGTAGGTTCTTCCAGGTTAAGGTAGGGTTTAGGGCTGAGCCTTGGCCCTTCACCCCATAAATCAGTAAATCCTGAAGCCCAAACCCCCACAGCCTGAAACCGCGGATCCTTGCATTTTGATATGGGGGTTTCCGAAAACAGGGGACCCTAATATAGTAGATACTAGGATCCTTATTATAAGGAGCCCCAATAAGGTACCCCTAATTTTCGGAAACTCCCGTATGTTGCCTGTGCATACTTGAAGGATCATGGGACTTAGTAGGGTTCCTTTACGGGATCTATAAGGGTTCTATCAGGGGGAGTTTAGGCCTTAGTAAGTAGGCTATAATTGGGGTTCTGAGTCCCCCAAGTGGGTGTATCCTAATTATGACGTACTTATAACCTTACTTACAAAGTTCCATGAGCCTTTGCGTAAGTTTGAGCTTGCTTTTTTCGTAGGTCACAGCAAGGTTCCTGAGCAAGGGGGATCCTGAACTAAGGGCTGTACGTTCATATCTTTTTACATAAGCAAAATTAGGATATCATGAGTTGTCCCATAACAATCCCTTGATATAATGAAAACCAATAAGGTAGAGATATCCTGTAACATGGTTGTGCTTGCTTTCGTTTTCTGTTTTGGGCCCCTGGAGTCCTTGGGTCGTGGGCTTCGCATCTGCGTACTGTGAGGCTGGGTTTTGCCCAAAAACACCACAGCCCCGGGAGTTTAATGTTTGGGCGTTTTGCGCGCGGTATCCGTGCACATTTCAGCGACAGAGAGGGTTAGAGCCTTAGGGCTTAGAGTTACTCGAGGGGCCTGAATAATTACCTACACGATTTTGGGTTCCTTATTCTAATTATAGTATATTGGGCCCCAAAACCCTATTCTAATTATTAAGGCCCCTACATTAGAGTGCCTGGAACTCCGGATTTGGCCTACCCGAAGCCCTACAAACCCCAAGCACTAAGCCCTACGGTGATGGTATGTACTGATGAGCTTGTACAAGTACAAGCAGTTCAGTTGTGGCTGTCGAGTCATGAGTTGACTGAGAGGTTGAGAGGGTGGGCAGCTAGTAGGGTTGTTTTAGAGGTGCTTATAGTGTTATTGTCAGGTTTCGTAGGGTTGTTTTGGTCGTGTTCTAGGGTTCACAAGGTGTTACGGGGTCTATGAGGTTTGAGTGGAGAGCCTGGCATTTTACGTTCTCACCACCCCGGAACCTCCCAAGCCTTGCCATTGTTGTGTAGGCTTTGTCTAGAGTTGTGCTGACTGCTGTCGCCGTAAATGTTTTAAGAACCCTGTAAGAAGCCTTAGAAACCCATAAGAGCCAGAAAAAACGAAAAAAGCAAGTCTACCAAACCCTAAACCCCTAAACCCTTGAATCCTAAAACCCATCCCCTGACCCCTATAGACACCTCAACCGCCAACCCTAAACCGTAAGCCTTAAACCTGAACCTTACTTGAAGGCTCATGGGACTTAGTAAGTAAGGTTATGAGTAGGTTATAATTAGGGTAACCTCAGTTAGGGGACTTATATCCCCAATTATAACCTACTTACTAAGTCCCATGATCCTCCAAGTACACCCCAAACCGGAGGCATTGGCCATCCACGGAGGCCTTGGACTCATTGAGCGAGAGGCGGGGAGCGGGCGGACTCGCCCCTGGGCTCTTCGTGAGGATTTAGCATTTAGGGTTCAGGGTTTAGGGTGTAGGGGTTTAGGTTTTGGGGTTTCGGGTTTAGGATTTAGGGTTCATGGTTTAGGGCTGTAGAGTTTAGGATTCAGGGTGGAGGCTTTTAGGGTTCGGGGTTCAGAGCTTACGGTTTTTAAGGAGACATGTTTGCGCAAGTTGTGTCGGGGTTGCTGTGGTGTTTTACACTGTTAATCTTGTAAGGGTTTTACAGGGGTTCTTCTGTTAGCTTTGGTGTGTTCCTCGTCAACCCAGCAGCAGCAAGTAAGTCAAGCTGGAACAGCAGGGAAAAGGTTTCCGTGTGTTTATCGCGGCTGCTGGGAAACATCATGTATGTAGGTATGTATGTATGCATGCATGCATGCATGCATGCTATGTATGTACTGTACGTACGCACGTCTGTCTGTGTGTGCGTATACATACATATATATATATATATTTATGTTTTAACGGCTATGATGAACCCTAAACGCTAAACCCTAAACCCTAATCTAGGTCCCTCGACCATAATAGTGATGGGTCTTTTCGGCGGCCTAGTTCCATCATTCATGCTAATGTAAATGTGGACACTCTGGGCAAGCTACCCCATGGTGTAGTGCTTCGGGGATTCAGGCTTGGGGTAGCTTAGTTTAGGGCTCGTGTTAATGATGGGTGCAATCCTGCATTACCTTGAAGTTTAATAGATTTTAGGGTTGAGGTCCCCAGACTTTATCAATGAAGGTTCTTTTCCTTCTTATGAATGAGGCAGGTTTGTCTCCATCGACAGTAGTTGAGTTTGTAAGCTTTCAGCATTGGCTGTCCACGGTCCAGATGTCAGGGTCTTTAGCTTCAGGGCTTACGTAGAGCTTATCAGGCGGGTTCTGGAAAATACAAGCCCAAAGCAAACCAAGAACAGTTCCAAGTTAACCCTAAACCCCAAGCCCTAAACCCTAAACCCTAAGCCCTACTGTCTACTACTGTTGTACTGAGGCCCTGGCCGAATTTAAGCCTCTTCCAGGCTGAAACGGTTGTCTCGGTGGTTAGTGGGCTTTGGGTTTAGGGTTTAGGGTTCAACCGTAAACCCTATAAACCCTAAACCCTGAGTAAGTTCAGGTGGTGAATATAGGGGCCTAGATAATTACCTATACTATTTTGGGGGTTCCTTATTATAACCCGAACCCGAACCCCCAACCGCCCCCCCCCCCCCACCAAACCCCCTCCCCCCCCCACCCCTTTCCGGTGCCGGAACAAACCCCCTCCCCCCTACGCCCACCCTGCCGGTGGCGAAACCCGAACCCGAACCCTAACCGCCGCCCCCGCCAACAAAAACAAGACATCCCGAACCAACCCGAACCTGAACCCAACCCCCCCCCTTCACCCTGCCGGTGGCGGAACCCGAACCCGAACCCCCCCGGGTAGTGGTTCGGGTTCGGGAGGGGGCGGGGCACTTACTGAAACTATAATAACATAACTCGCCCCAAAGCCCTACTCTAATTGTTAAGGCCCCTATATTAAACGAGCCTTGGGGTGAGGGATGAGGTCTCGGGAATTGGTAGGTTCAGGCTGCGAAAACCGCATTTTGCCGTCCTTGAGCCCTGGGGCAGAAGACTATAATAGTCTCCTGAGGAACTAATTTTCTTTTTATTCATTTAATACCCAAGGCTTTTTGTTCATATAATACCCAAGGGAATATTACAAGTGTTGTTTTCAATACGGTTGTATGGTGGGTATAGAAATGAAGGGGAAACACTACAGAGCAACAAACTGCCTATGACCCTAAACCTTAAACCCTGAACCCTAACCTTAAACCCTGACCCTAAACCCTAAACCCTAAACCCTTAACCCTAAACCCTAAACTCTAAACCTTGAACCCTAAACCTTAAACCCTGACCCTAAACCCGCAACCCTAAACCCGAAACCCTAAACCTTAAACCCCACAGGCCCCAAACTCTATAGAGCAGCAAAGAGCAGCGCAGGAGCAGATTCAGCGATTCAAGTCTGAGCCCAGGCCCGCAGACTCGAGAGATCTGGATTCGATTTGGCCTTAGGGTGGTACTTACAGTTTCATGGAGCTTAGTAAGTAAAGTTACCAATAACAACCCCAACTATAACCTACTTACTAAGTCCCATGAGCCTTTGAAGGAGGAGAGGCTTTTGGGTTGTAGGCTTAGGCTTTAGGGCTTGGGGGCTTTAGGGTTTGAGGCTTAGGGTCTAGGGTTTTAGGGATTCTAGACGGGCCTTGGCCTTCTCGTTGGTTTAAGGTTTGGTAGGTTATGTTGTTCTGGGGTTTGGGTCTTCCGGGTAGGGTTTAGGGTTTAGGGTTTTGTACTTAAAGGCTCCTGGGACTTAGTAAGTAAGGTTATAAGTAGGTTATAATTAGGATAACCCCACTTAGGGGACTTATAACCCCGTTTATAACCTACTTACTAAGTCCATGATCCTCTAAGTAGGTTGTGTTGTTTTGGGGTTTGGGTCTTCCGGGTATAGGGGTTGGCTTCTTATTGGCTTTAAATTCAACTTTTCAACTCTTGCGGCTCTTATAAGGTAGTCGGTTCTGAAAGTTTCAACTTTTATTTCCTTGGGTTTTGGGCCAGTGAGGTATAGGGGTTGGCTTGTATGGGGTAAGAGTTCGTGGTTTTCAATAGGTTCTCTTCTTCGATTTTCAGGTTTTGCCTAAAACCCTAAGCCCTAAACAGTGGCCTTCGCTTCTTTTAGTGAAACTGTTGATGAGAAGCCATGGTTTTCCCAAACCCTAAGGCCCTAAGCCCCTAAACCTTGGCCGTATCTTAAAGGAGATATAGAGAATTTCCCAAGCCTCCAACCCCGAAATTCAATAAGGCTTTTAGCGTGCAGGACCTAAACCCTAAACCCCTACACCCTAAACCCTTGGTATTCGGGTTTTGCATGAACAGGAAGTGGGGAGACTACAAACCCTGCATACGGGCAAACTTTCCAACGTTCCCACACAAACAAAACCTCACAAAGCCTGTAAAACAGACCCCTGCAGTTTTACAAAGGGTCCGAATAACCCCCCCAAATGCATGTTCTAATCTAGTGGTTGGGGAGGGCTCTACTTTCGGATTCAGTTCGGAAGAAGTTCAATGGTTTAGGGTTTAGGTTAGAAGGGGCCCCCACCCTGTAATCGTGGCACAATGGGAACATAATAGGGCCCCAATATCATCCTTATAGTCACTGTTACAGGGTCTAAGGTTTAGGCTTACCCAGACCCCCGGGAGGACCTAAAAAGTAGATGCCCTAATTTGGGACCCTAGCTACTAAAGGGTTCGTTCTCGGAACCCCCTTGAGGGATCTACTTTTTGGATCCTCCCGAGCTGATGTGTTTAGAGATGAGGGCTTTGGGTTTAAAGTAGAAGCCGGAAAGTTGGAATATCATTATCCTCATGCCCTTAAGGTAACATATACAGTAGAAGCCCAAAAGTTGGAAACCCCATAGCCTCAATCCTGAAGAGTAGTGTATAGGGCATCCCAGCACCATTTGGCCTTAATCCGGTTTCCAACTTTGTGGGGTGTACTGCAATGAGTCCCAGCATTAACCATCTTAAATCCATGTTCCAACTTTCTGGGATTCACCATAAGGGTTTAGGGTTTCGGGTTTACGACATTTACGGGTCAGTACTTAAAGGATCATGGGACTTAGTAAGTAGGGCTATAAGTAGGTTATAGTCAGGGTAACCCCACTTGGGGGACTTATAACCCCACTTATAACCTACTTACTAAGTCCCCTGCTCCTCGAAGTAGGATGTACGGACGAGGAAGTCGCTTGCCGATGAGGCCCCTCAATCATCCAACTTCTGGCCCTTCCAAGCAATAAAGGGAACTCCAGAAAGTTGGAATATGGTTTCAGGGTAGGATACCTTATAATTTACCATAAAGGGTTTAGGATAACCATATTCCAACTTTCTGGCTTTTACTTTAAGCCGCCTTAACTCACAGGGGAAAAGGAGGGACCTTTAATGGGGACCCCTACCCTATAATGGGCTATATAACGGGTATATAATAGCTATATTAAGGGTATAATATATACCTAGGGGTCCTTATTAAGGGTCCCTCCTTTTACCCTTGGATTAACACACACACACACACCAAAGCTTAAAGGTCCATAAGCCCCAAGCCGCAGGTGTTCCGTGCTGATCATGACCTTGGGGACGGGCGGAGTGGGTCTGAATCTCGCTGTCGCCTCCCATGTGCCTCGTCTGGGTAAGCCGCCGTAGAAGCTTTAGGATTTATGGCTTACCTGTAGTCTCCATTGTAGTTCCTTTTTTTGGTTACCCAATTTTATGGTTAGGATCCTATAAGGGAGATTTTGGTTAACCAAAAAAAGGAAAACCCTAAACCCTAAACCAATGGAAACTATAGGTATAGGCTCATAGGGCTTGGGGTTTACCTAAACCCTAAACCCTAAACCCTAAAACTATAGGGCTTGGGGTTTAGGGTTGTAGGGTTTAGGGTTCAGGCTTTATGAGGTTTTCTGGTTCAAGGGGGTTTAGGGTTTAGGGTCTTAGGGGTTTAGGGTTTAGGGTTTAGGGTATACTTAAAGGCTCAAGGGACTTAGTAAGCAAGGATATAAGTAGGTTTTAGTTAGGATAACCCCACTTTGGACTTATAACCCCGGTTATAACCTGCTTACTAAGTCACATGATCTTTTAAGTAGGCGTCCTTGCATAAGTGTGTTCGTGGCCTTCAACAGCCAAGCCACACAGGGTGTATGGCTTCGTTTACTTAAAGGATCAGGGGACTTAGTAAGTAGGGTTACCTTTAAAGCTATACTTATAAGTCCTTATTCCTCGCAATTAGGGTGAAATTTATAGCCTTACTAAGTCCCACGATCCTCCAAGAAGGGTTCAGGGGTCTCAGAGTGTTGCGGTTAGGTATTTTACGGAGCTTAGGTTGAGGGATATGGCCTCCTGAGCCCTAAACCCTAAACCCCTAAACCCTAAACCCTAAGTCCAGGGTCTAAGGTGAAGAACGTGCGTTTTCCTCAGTAGCAACCCGCGCTTCTGACCTTTCGATTTCGGGGTACCACTAAGTATAATTAAGAGTGAACCGCAGGAAAAAATTGGGTAAAGCAGTTATTCAGGGGATGCTGGGGAATTTAGCGATCGAGCTGTACTCGTGTTCTTGTTCTCAGATGGCCAATGGTAGAACTTTTGGTGTTACACATGTGGGAGTTTCCGAAAATAGGGGACCCTAATATAGTACCCTAAATAATAGGATCCTTATCCCCAATATAAGGTACCCCTAACTTTCGGAAACTCCCATTTGGACTATGATAGAAAGTTTGAGGTTTTGGGCCTGGTTGTTTAGGGTTTAGGGTTTGGGGTTTAGGGGTTTAGGGGTTAGGGTTTAGGGGTTTAGGGCTTAGGGTTCAGGGTTTAAATTATTGGCGACCAGAGTGTTTGTTCTGAAGTTTCTTTCAATCCCGGCCAAGGACTAGGTTGCATCAACCCTCAAAGTTGATTCCGTGCAGTTCCAAACGTTATGGCCCTCTGATTAAAACTGAATATTAGGAAAAAAGGGTACCCTCATTATCAAGGGGTTACTCAGGAACCTACCTAATCCTAACTCTATACGGTTAGTTCTCTACATTAGAGTCCCCAAAATAGTACGGCACCTCTATATAAAGAAAAGGACCCTTAAACAACCTCATGTGGAGAATTACCCATATGGTATATTAACCTTAAGCCCTTCCGGGTTGATGTCGTCCTTAAGCCCTTTTAAGGCTTAAGGACGACATCAACCGGTTTAGGGTTTAGGGTCTAGGGAATCCGAAAGGAGCCCTTTTAGGGTATTCTCTAAGGGTCCATGTGCTCATATAGTATATACATTGGTCTTAAACTACTCCCTATATAGGTGCATTGGGCCCAAAGTATATGCTATACGGGTACATGGACCCTTCGGGATTCTCAACTGTTCAACTCTGATGCCGAAGTCGCCAACTTGCAATCCTGGATTTAGGGTTTAGGGTTTTAGGGTTTAGGATTTAGGGTTTAGGGCTTAAGGTTCAGGGTTTGGGGCTTAGGATTTGCTGCAATCCTAAACTCAAACCCAAACCTTACTTGGAGGGTCGGTGGATTTCGAGTAAACCCCATAGTAAGGGTTACCAAGAGGGTGTCTTTACAGGGCTTAGGGTTTAGCTACGTGTTTTGGGCGTTTAGGGTTTAGAGTTTAGAGTAAACCCCATAAAGTTGGAAGCCGGAGCAAGGCCAAATAGTTTTGGGATTCCCTCTACACTACTCTTAATGATTGAGGCTATTGGGTTTCCAACTTTTGGGCTTCTACTGTAGTAAGTAGTTATCTTATAGACTTGTAAGCAGCATAACCTCAGTTGGGGTCCCCGTTTTGGGTACTTATAGTTCTACTTTGTACCTACTTTCTAAGTCCCCTGACCCTGCAAGTAGCCCTGGACCTGCCGAGCTTGAATCCTTTCCTGTCGAAAGATCTTTGTCAAAGGTTGTGCACTACGATCGCTGCTGGAATCCTGCCAAAGAAAACCAGGCGTAGGGTTTGTGGGATTTGGGGTTTGGGGTCTAGGGTTTAAAAGCCAAAGAAACCCAGGCACACTGGACTCTTTTCCATTCGGGGTTCGGCGGGGTTTGCTTTGGGGAGGGGGGTGGGGGGGGGGGGGGTTGGGGACTATACTTCCTTGAATAGGCCTTATTAAGTCCTTACTGCTGGTATTAAGGCCCCCTACTCCCCTAAGGGTCCTTATGATTGAAAGGCTTCCTTCATGGGTTCTTAGGGGGGTTGCTGTCAGGGCTTAGTTTAATATATTGACCTGATTTTTTAAAAAGCTCTGCCTCGGGCTAACATCGTAGCAAAACTATAGAAAGCAGCCCCTTCAGGAATAATGGCAGCAAATGTTCAGGCTTGTATGTTCATGAATATTCACATTTCCTTCGAATTTGTTACCTAGATACCCTTTTTTGGGTTCTTACAGTTTAATAGGACTCGGAAAGTTTATCCTTTTACTTTCGTGGTTCATTGGTGGAGTAAGGTTGAGCTAGATTGATGCCCTATGCCTGTCTGATTTCAGCATCAACCGACTCTGGCTGAACAACAGGGAAAAGGGGCAACTTTATGACTTAGTGGCTGCTGGGGAACCCAGCTAAACAAGTTAAGCAAAGAGCCGTCTGTTCCGTATGTTGAGATCGTTGAGTTGAGGCCGTATAAGCCCTAAGCCCAAAACGAATCTGTGGAAGCCCCAAAAAACACCATAGGACCTTATGAAGAGTCTGGGGGGGCAGGCCCCAACTCGAGACGCCATGCGGCGAACGACGCGAATCCTGACAGAGGATCTAAACAGGCGCGATGTGAGCAATGCACACGAGGAAGCCACCAGGTTTGGTCACGGCGGCACTGTTCGGTCACGAAGTGACGCAACTCGAGGAAGTCGGTCAGCAGCTCCAAGAACAAGACCTCAACGAAGTTGCGGCACGTCACTAAGATGGGAATCCGTTTGCTCCGGAGCTCCGCAGGATTTTTTTTACGGGGCATCTTTCAAAGCTCTTGATGGCCTCGATTTGATGCTGACGATCATTTTCTTCAGCATCTACACAGTCGTCGAAGTTCGAGTGATTGGCAAGCCCTTGGAGGTGGAGTGGCGGTCTTTACGAACGAACCATCCAAAACACCCTAAACTAAACAAAAAAACTAACTTCCAAATCCAGGAAACACCGTACGAAGTCCTCAGCTTCTGACCACTACTTAAGGGGACATAGTGACATAGTAAGTAGGGTTATGAGTAAGGCAGCTATGCTTACAAGCACTCAGAAACCCAATTAGGGTACTTCTAACCTTACTTACAAAGTCCCACGATCCTCCAAGTAAACCCTAAACCCTAGATCCTGCACTCCCCGGAGGCAACCGACCGTGCACATCGCCGGGCTCTCAGCTTCGGACTACGGATATTTAGGGTTTAGGGCTTGGGGTTTAGGGTTTAGGGTTTAAAGGCTTGGGGGTTAGGTTTTAGGGCTTGGGGGTTAGGGTTTAAGGTTAGGGTTTAGGGCTTGGGGTTTAGGGTGTGAGGGTTTAGGGGTTTCAATGGTTCAACTATAGCGTGTGTGTGTGTGTGTGTGTTTGTTGTTGAGGGTGTGTTACGGTTGATGCTATACTGGCTGTATGCAGGGCTTATGGGGTTGGGTTTAGAAAGGTTTCGTAGAGGGTCTTACAGAGCTTCATAGTGTTGGTACCCTAAAGCCTAAACCCTAACCCCCTAAACCCTAAACCGTGAACCAGAACAGAGTTTTATAGTGGTTTGCAGGGTCTCTGCGGGATGTATACTCAGAGATCCCAATATCCCTTCATTAAGGAATATACCTTACATTACAGGGGCCTTAATATTATGGTTTAAGGTATATTCCTTAAATAAGGGATATTGGGATCTCAGGGTAAGAGGGCTTGGGGGGTTTAAGGGTTTAGAATTTATGGCTTTCGTTGTGGTGTCGTGGGTTGGGTGGGTGTTTTACATTAGGCTGTCAGTTGGGGAGTTGCCAAAATTATGGTCTTTCTGGGGAACACTACACAATTTTGCTGTTTTTGCGGCACCCGTTAGTTTGGGACCTCCGCGGGACCATAGTTTGGACAACCATCCAAGTAATTAGTACGATTGTTGCCGTTGTTTCTCTGGGGTCCCGCTGCTGTTCAAAACTCAGCAACAGGAGAAGGATTGCTTTGTTTTAGGCTTTACCTTGGGGTACGGCCCCCACTCAGTAATAGTTGAGTAATATTCATAATATAGATATACCAGGCCCTTAATAGTAGCCCTATTATAGACTCTTACTGCATGGGGGCAGTACCTAAGCTTTACACCCTAAACCCTAAACCCTAAGGGCCGTACCTAAGCTTTACCGGTGAACTCGCTTGGCTGGTGTTCTTGGTGCAGGGCTTCTGGGGTGGAAAAGTTTTGGGACCGTAGCGGAGTTTCCGAATAGGGTTCCTTTAAAGGGTACCATGAGGGTTCCTTTTAGGGATCTATAAGGGTTCTATAAGGGGTTTAGGGTTGTCGGTTTAGGAAGTTTCCGAAAACAGGGGACCCTAATATAGTAATTACCCTAAATAGTAGGATCCTTATTATAAGGACCCCGGCGTGGTTACTGAGTGCAATTTGCAGAAGCAGTCTGGGCATGGTTGCTTGAGACTTTCCCGAAGCAGTTCTTGCCCACATGGTTACTGTCTACTTCTTGGAACTTGTGGAAAAACATGTTGAACCCGGCAACCGTTTTTCGCAGCAAGCACAGAGACGGGTCTTTTGTAGGCCCTTGTGCAAGGCACAGCAGAACTCAGCAGCATTTATTTTCAAGAGACAACTGCAAGAACCATGGAAGGCGATCACACGGGTAGCCATGGCAGGAGCGGGTAGCACCGGGCGGCTCTTCTTGGGGGTGAGATACTCCGACCACAAGAGTACCTAGAGATCCCAATATCCCTTATTTAAGGAATATACCTTAAACCATAATATTAAGGCCCCTGTAATGTAAGGTATATTCCTTAATTAAGGGATACTGGGATCTCTAAGTATTTCCTTTCTGCATAACCATGCTCCATGCATCAGGGTCCTGCCTCTTGGTGAGACTCGCTACATTTGACAGCTTGCTGGCGTCCCTTGAAATCGGTGAAGACCACTTAGAGGATCATGGGGCTTAGTAAGTAGATTGTAATTGGGGTTATTAGTCTCAAACGGGGTTATCCCAATTTACTACTTGAAGGATCACGGGGCATAGTGAGTAGGTTATAATTGGGCTTAATTATAAATCCCCCAGTGGGGATATCCTAATTTTGGCCCACGTATAACCTGACTTACTAAGTCCCATGAGCCGTTAAGTAGGTAGGTTGGTATGTCAGGGCTCCTGCGTGGAGTGGAGACAGCTGATGTTTCACCCTAAGTCCCAAATTTATTTAGTATGGGGAGCCCAGAAACTCAAATATCCTTTAATTAAGGCAGATTCCTTAAATCATAGTAGGATCCTTAATGCGATTTGAGTAGGATTCCGAATATGATTTAAAGAATATTCTTTCATTAAAGGGATGTTGGAATCTCTCGGGAAGTTCTACCTGAACCCTAAAAGCAGCTTTGGCAATCCATCCAAACTAGCCAAGCAGGCCGCAGAGAGTTCACAGAAACTACAGCATCAGTTTGGAAATGCCAAGCACATTGAACCGTAGTGACCCTAAACCTTAGCTCAAGACCGACCTCCTAGCCTTCTGAATCTAAGTGCATGGGCCGGGTGGGGGAGTGCTTCATCATAATTTACCGTAGAATGTCAGGTTTCTCGGGCCACTGGTGAGCTTCAAACCTGGTAACCTCCAAAACCCAAGGCAATAAATCCGAAACCTAAACCCTTCAGCCCTAAACACCCTAAATCCTAAAGCCTACCCAAAATAGAAACCTAAATCATTATCAACATATTCCTTCAGAGTTCGTTATCACCAGTATACTATGATATACCCGCAAGCCTGTAAAGGGCCTGTATGAAAGTGCACGGCACTTGAGTCATAAGGACCGCTAGGGTGGTAAGGGGTAGTGGGATACTTCCTTAATTAGGCCTTGATCGACCCTTATCTGATCTTTATTCCCGCTGCCCCTCTCCCCTTCCCCTCAGGGTCCCGAAGCCCTATACCCTAAACCGCCTAAACCCTAAGCCCTAGACCCTGAACCCAAAACCCTAAGGGTGTCCCTACATAAAGGCTCATGGGATTTAGTAAGTAAAGTTATAAGTAGGTTATAATTAGGATAACCCACCTAGGGGACTTATAACCCCAATTATAACTTACTGACTCAGTCCCGTGAGCCTCGAAGTATGATCGAGGCATTGGACAGAACCGCACCGTGGTGGTACATCGCCTGGTCTCCCAAGGGACATTGGAGGCAGTGCTCAGGGGAACGTCTCTGGGTCAGTACAGTTTTTGTGGACACAAGTCCTGAGTAGTGCGCCTTCAGACGTGCCGTCGTTACGACCCTGCAGAGTTGGAGAGAGAGAGCTCAAGGGAACCTGGATATCATTGAGTAGGCCTTTGGGCCTAAATTAGGTAGTGAGTAGACGTATAATTAGGATAACCCCCAATTAGGGAACTTGTAACCCCAATTATAGCCTACTTTCCACGTCCCATGATTCTTTAAGTCGTAGAGTTATAAGTACCCTAGAAAGGGATCCTAAGGCCTTTGGGACAATAAGGGTTCAGGTTTGAGGGTTTTGGGGAGGTTAAGGTTTGGGGTTTAGCGTTTACAAGCGTTGAGTTATCAGGGTTTGCGGGTACTTGGAGGGTCAGGGAACTAAGTAATTGGGCATATATAGAGTTGTAAGTACCCTAAACAGGGATCCAAGTTGGGGCTATGACGATATTTCTAAGTTATAAGACAACGACTTACGAAGTCTTTCGACCCTCCAAGTAGGCCTTTGAGATAATTGCGTATGGTCCCTAATGTAAACTATTAAGATGAGCTCATTCACGAACGTTTTTCAGTGGTTGTACAACTATGCATGGGAACACTTAGTTAGGAGTTCAGGGGTCTCGTTCTCTCTCCCTCTCTCTCTCTCTCTCTTGCTGATCTCCTTTCGGCTAACCTTAGATTCCCAATACCTAACCTTTAAACTTTTTGGGCTCTTATAGTTTACTAGGAATCGGAAAGTTTAACCTTGTATTTCTGTGGCTTATTGCGGTTTGGTTGGGGGACATCTGCCACCTCGACACCAGCACCTTGGTTGGATGCTGTTGCCCTCCTCATTCGTAGTCCTGCTGTTTGGGGTGGTTAATATAGGGGCCTTAATAATTAGAATACGGTTTTGGGTTACATGATACTACAATTAAAACAAGTAACCCCAAAATAGTATTGGAATTGTTAGTAAGTAACTGGTTTCATCGTCGTCTTTGGCTTAGGGTTTAAGGTTTAGGGTTTTGGGTTCGAGATAGGGTTGTGGTCTGTAGGGTTAGTGTAAGGGTTTAGGGTGTTTGTGTAGGTTGTAGGGTTAGGCAGCCCCGGTTTTTGTGATCTGGATATTCACCATCGTCTTCGCAGACTTCTCGGTTCCTGTCAGGAATCCGGCTGATGGACAAAATCCTGCATCACTTTTAGTACCCTTCGCTATCGAAGTTGTGCTAGTATCGGTATGACTTTGATGCAGGAATTCGTGAGCCTGAGTACTACTACGACACACTACTCACTACTTGCTACTTGTTTCTGACCAGCTGCCAATCGTCGTTAGATGGAATATATATATATATATATATATATACGAAAAGCTACTGCATCCGTAATTTCGGTGATTGACTACGACGGGCCAAAGCAAGCTTCCAAGCTGAACCAAGCCCTAAACCCTACACCCTAAACCCCAAACCCTCAACCCTAAACCCTAAAACCCTAAACCCTAAACCATCCCACATCCTGGACCCTTTTTGGTAGGTTCGCATCGTCTCGAAAACTCCCAACCCAAGAGCCCCCCCAGTACATGGTAGGTAAGGAATCTGCCTTAAAGTGCCGACCTTCGTTTGAAAATATAGAAAAATGCCAGCAGGCCCGTCTTAAATCCTCAGAACCGGAACAAACCTTGCAAAGCCGAACTGTGCCAGGAGCGGCTGGCAGAGGAACTGCGACGCAAATCGCAGCTGGCACAGGAGGCGTCGGCAGTGTTATCACGGTGCTAGAAGGTTTCATCAGGGTTTTAAAGGTTTGTTCGGGGTTTCCACATGGTTGCTTCGTGGCTGTGCTGTTTAGCTCGAATCTCAACTCGAGACACAATTCAAGGCATCCGGGTCTCCACAGGGTGCATAGTAGTTGTGTTTGTGAGCTGTAACTTGGGGTTCAAACGTATAGACCAATCGTCTGCAGGTCATCCCTTCTGATGTCACACCGACGGACATCGCCACCTTCTCGGTGCAGGACAGGTGTGGATATTTGTAATGTAGGAACCAGATTAAGAAAATTTGGGCCTTCATTTTCAGAAGGGCTCCTTGTATGAATCCGGTTATTTTGAGGATATAGGCCCAGGATTTCTCAATCAGGTTCCTACGTTATGTAGGTGAGGGCTCATCTCTTGCGGGCAAGTTTTTCAGCTTGGGCTGACCTGATAGGGCTTGGCATCTAGGATGCCTAGGAGCACCCTCAGTCCCTTTTTGTAGTCCTAGGTTGATTAAGTTACGCAATACCAAAAAGGGAGCCCTTTTTATTCCTAGGTTACTGGGCATCCTAGGCATGAGCTCAGGCTCAGAGGGTGGAGTTTAGAGATGTCTAGAGTGTTTCTGCATGTTGGTTATCAACCAAAATGGATGTGCTATGCCATGCACCAGGTGCAGTTCTCACTGTTCGCGATTGTTTGTGCCTGTTGCTGAGTGAGATGCTTGTTTTCTTAATTTAGTAAGGGGTTCCTGTTTTTGGGGTGCGGAGTGACAACCCTACTCGGTCTTCAATACTGGCGTTCGTCTTTTTCACGTCTTCCGTGTGCTTCCATGCAACAGGTGTCTATCGCGCCGAAGAGCCTTCATAACTAAGGTAACTGTACTTATGAGTACTTATGCCCTCCGGTCAGAGTGTAATGCAACTACCCTGACACCCTGTTCTTGTGTTACTCGTTGCCCCAGTGCCTACACCCCCTGAAGCTTATAACCACCGGAAATTTAGACAATTCCTGCTAGCCTGTAAATCCCAAATCCTTGTCGTAGACCCAACTCTGACCCACGAAGCTTTGTGATGAGGGGTGGCGGGGGCCGGGAGGTTTAGGGTACAAGAGGTCAAGGTGCAAGGTGTAGGTTCTGGGGCGGTCTTTGAAGCGAGCTCGACTCAGAAATCAGGGGCCTCAACAGGTAGGATGAAGGTAGGTGGGGTCATCCCCAAATAAGAGTCTTTATATTGGGGATCCTTAATCCTGCCCGCCTTCCTCCCACCTTTTGAGGCCTTCAAAGAAAGCTTTTGAATTTCACCTGGCTAGGGGAGTCGAGCTGAAATAGCAACGACACGATCGCTTGTCCAGGAGCTGATGGACCTTCTGAAGATGGGACTGCAACATTCGGAGGCGTTTCTTGCTGACTTTAGAGTCTTGGGGCTAAGGGCTTTTTTAGGTGTTGAGGTTTTGGGGTTTGGTAGGTTTCGCGTTTGGGGTATAGGAGTTACGGTTTAGGGTTTAAGGTTTTTGGGTTTGTAGGTTTTGGGCGTGGGATTCGTGATTTGATAGGGGGTGCGCAGGTTTTGCTTGTAGTAAAGTTCGCATATTGTAGTTGATCGGTTAGTGTTGAGGATGGATTCGGAGGCCTTGTCTGACAACCCTGAATTATGAGACCAGGCTTCACACTTATTGGCTTTGACCCTGGGCACGCCTACTCAGAGGATCATGGGACTTAGTAAGTAAGGTGATAAGTAGGTTACAATTAGTATAACCCCACTTAGGGGACTTATGACCCCAATTATAAGCTGCTTCCTAAGTCCCATGATCGTCTAAGTACCCCAAACCCTTCAGGTTCAGCATAGCTCAAAGCCTGGGGTACAAGATTTACTCGTGTATTCTCGTACGGTTTACGGCTTTTCGGCTCCGTGGTTTTATGATTTATGGTTCGGGTTTAGGGAGTTTAGGGTTTGGAGTTTGGGATTTAGTGCTTTGGGTTTAGGGGTTAGGGCTCTATGGTCTTGTGACATGAGGACTGGATGACACTCGATCTTTCTGTCCTCCTGCGCAAGTTGAAGAAGCCATGAGTTCATCTCTACAACTGGGCTACAACCCTGCGGCCTATGCCAAGCTAAGAATCATACCGTCTCCCAGCCCGATATGGCTGTACTGTGTGATTCGGGATTCAGGGTGTAGAGTTCGGTTCTCGGGATGTAAGGTTCAGGATTTAGGGTTTAAGGGATAGGGGGCTTCCTCGTGTGTGTTCGGCATATTATACATGAACTATACACTCCTTAATTAGGGGGTATTGGGCTCTCTGGGGAGGTGTCCGTCAATCTTCCAGTGGCTCATAACTGGGAGCGTATGTCTCGCTTTACTGAGGAGTATACCTTAAGTTATAGGGGGCTTCGTAGTATGATTGAAGGTATGTTCCTTTAATATTCGGGTTTCGGCGAGTGTATATCGGTCTTTGTAAAAGTTTATTGGTGAACGCATAGTTGGGGCGTTGTTTTGGGGGTCCTAGCAGTGCGGGCCTTCACCCATATAAGGTCTTCCATGCCTCATAAGCTCTTCCGCGTCTCAGTTAAGCTTGAAATGACGCTAGACCTTATCCCTGAGTGTAAGGACGCCCTCCAAGTCCTGATTAGCCTTTCCCTCAGACTCCAAGTATACAAATGGTACCGATTGTGCCTTGTAAAGTCTAAAAATAGTACCTAGTAAGGGCTTCTTGGAGTTTCAGGATCAAATAACCGATAGGAATCGGCTTCGGTAGGTCTCCCAAATCAGGGATTGGTTCAGGTTTTGGGCTTTCAAATTCAGGGTCCGCGATGAAAGCACAAACACTACGGGTCCACTTGGAGGGTCAGCGGAGTTGTGAAGTAGGTATAATAAGTTGAGACGTAAGTTGTAAGTACTTTAAAGGGAGCCTAATTGGGATGATATAGTTACTTACAAGTGCATAAAACTCCCGAACCTCCAAGTAGGGCTTGGGTTCAGGGTTTAGGTTCATCCGAAGCCTTGAACTGCAAGCCCTCCGACCGGTCAACTCCCTCCGGCGAGCCAGGCGCCTCCGGATACCCGAAGCCAGTGAGCACTCGGGGCATACTCTTATATTATAGTAGAAGCCAGAAAGTTGGAACATCAATATCTGCATGCCTTTAAAGTAAAGTATAGGGGATCCTGGCGGTCCTAGCACCAATCCTCCTAAACCCATGTTCCAACTTTCTGGGGATCTCTTCATGGATCAAATCTTGCAATATCACCAAACTGTTGCAAGACCAAGTTCCCGTAATTTGAGGTACTTAGGTAACGCAGCAAGCTGTATATACACACTCACCCGCACGCTACTCGCAGAACTGGCAACAGCAGCAAAAGCAGAAATTTGCAAACTGAGGGATACTGTAGGGGAAGGAGCCCCAGCTTTTCAGAGTTTTCGTGATGAAGAGGTTTCCATTCAACACCATTCGAAGGCCTCGTCACTATGCACTCAAGCTGCATGGCAAATTCTCCAACACTTTCTCAAGCCCTACTTGTGCAACCTCATAAAGAACACCACGGCAGGAACTCACTCACAGAGCACTATTTATTCAAAAGACAGAAGCCCCACACCCCAAAGCTCTAAGGCCTATCCCTATGAACCTTACGCCTTACGCCCCAAAGCACCTGTTAAAACCCTGTTAAAGGAACCCTAAACCCTATAATGCCCTTATTGACCACTTATATGGGTAGTTCTTGAAAGTAGGGTCCCTTGTCATTCTTAAACTCTGCCCTACCAGAGAACCGTGGGGACGTAGTAACCTGAGTAAGTAGGGAATAAGTAGAGTTATAAGTACCCTAAAAAAGGGATCCTCTTGCGGGTTATGATGTTTGTAAGTCTTTAAAATAATAACTACTTCCTAAGGCCCCTGACCATTCATGCGCCCTATCATGACATGAACTGAGAGTCCGAATCCGGCGCCAGTCAGTGCGCAGTGGCACTGAAGAAACAAAAACATACGATAATTAGGTCCTACAAAGAAGCAGAACAGCCTTGTGCCTTAGCGCCCTATCAGAGCATCGTCTCAGTGTACATAGCGCCTCCCGGCTGTTGGGGGCTTCAGCAAAGCTCTCGGAGAGTGGCATCTGCAGGGCTGGTGCAGAGCTAGGGCTAAAAGTTTATTGGGTTGTCCTTTGGGATCTTTTTTTTTTTTAATTTTTCCTAATTTTTTTGCAGAGAACCATGATAGTAAATAATTTTCAAATGGCTTAAAGGACAACTCAGTTGAGAGTTTAGGATTCAAGGTTTAGGGTGTAGGGTTTAGGGTTTAGGATCTAGGGCTTGGGGTTTATAGAGTTTAGGTGTTTGTGCTGTACGCTGGGTGTTTTATATGGCTTCATCAACGGCTTCGAAGTTCTGTTTTTGTTGAAAAGGTCTGAGGTTTTAATTTTTCGAAGCGTTCATACAGTGTTTGCATAGGGCATACCTTCCTTGGATGTTTGTTGAAGATTTTTTGGGCTTGTTCGCTGGAGTCGTGAGGCTACACCTGCGTGCATTGTAGTCTCGCTGAAAGGGTTTTGTTTGTTTGAACAAGAGTTGTGACCCTAAGCCCTAAAATCCTGAACCCTAAACACTTGTATTCCTGTGTTGTTACTTATCGCCCCCATCTTGCGACGTGTTTTTGTATACCGTGAAGGGCTTAGGGTATAGATACCAGAATAGACCTAGCCACAACATGATGTGTGTTGCTTTACTTGATTTCCCGTGGACTTGTGAGAATGATTTGGCCCATAATTATCATGCTGCTGTACCATACCCAGTATACTTCATGTTCAAAACATCGCTACTTGGCTTTCCTTATAGCGGCAGTAATGGGTTAGATGGACTCATACCAAACTGCGTAACCCACACGTGGGGTTGTTGCCTAAAACCATCATCTAGGAGCCCCAACCCTCATATGGGAGTTTCCGAAGATAGGCGACCCTAATATAGTACCCTATCCATAGGATCCTTATAAAAGGGACCCCAGGAAAAAAATGCATCCCTAATTTTCGGAAACTCCCATCTAAAACCCTAAACCCGAAGCCCTAAACCCCTCAACGGACTCTAAACACTGTAGCTCAGTCATGACACTTTCCCTGGAACTCTGTCGCTTGACTACTTAAAGGATCATTGGACTTAGTAAGTAGGTTAAAATTGGGGTTATAAGTCCCCTAAGTCGGGTTTTTTCTAATTACAACCTACTTATAACCCTACTTGTTAAGTCCCATGAGCCTTTAAGTAGGATGCCCAGTAGTACCCTTGTTCCCTTTTTGTAGCCCTAGGTTCCCTATAATGTTACCCAATACCAAAAAGGGAGCCCTTTATATTCCTAGGTTACTGGGCATCCTCGTTGATTAGCTGAGATTGTAAATTTTCAGATGGTAGTTGTCGAAAATAGGGGACCCCAAAAAGCACCCGAAATAGCAGGATCCGTAACCCCAAAACAGGGTACCCCGCAATTTTCGGAAACTCCCAGATAAGCATCGCCTCAATCCCCAAAAAATAACTTACCGTTTTAAGGATTCATGTTCGGAAACCATAGTATGGAAGCCTAAAGAGGTCGGTTCTTTTGGGCCCGGGTAAAGAGGGTTTTGGGAAGTTTGCCCGCCGCTCTCCGTCCTGGCTAGGAACGACTCGGTTCATCGATTCTTCGCGCAGAAAGAGAGCACCAGCTTGCGGTCCGTCTATGGCGTTTTTCATAAGGGTTACTTAAAGGCTCATGGGACTAAGTAAGGTTATAAGTGGGTCATAATTAGGATAACCCCACTTCGGGGACTTATAAGCCCAGTTATAACCTACGCACTAAGTCCCATGATCCTCTAAGTACATCGGATGTTAACAGGAGTTGGTCCTCGTGTGTGTGTGTGTGTGTCTGCAGTGGTTATAACTTGTTTTAAGAAGCATTCGATATGGGCTGTTGGCCAGGCATTGCGAATCTTCAGTTGTATTCTTTCAGGGGGTGCCATAACACATCTTCTGGCTAAAACCTAGATCCCCAATACCCAACCTTTAAACTTTTTGTGTTCTTATAGTTTAATAGGACTCGGAAAGTTTGACCTTTCATTTCTGCGGCTTATTGGGGGAGTAACTTCGGGTTCAAACATAGACGCCCATATGGGTGGTTGTCAAAATTAGAGTCCCTCTTTTGCGTACCCTAAATATTAGGTGCCGTATTATAATAAGGACTCAAAAAGGGACCCTAACTTTGACAACAACCCATATAGACGCCCCTAAAGCGCTAGTCTGACCAGCAGGCTTCTATATGTCCAAGGGTAGAAAGAGGGACCCTTAATAAGGACCCCTGCCCTATAATGGGCTACATAATGGGTATATAATAGCTCTATAAAGGGTATGTACCTAGGGGTCCTTATTAAGGGTCCCTCCTTTTACCCTTGGAGTATGTGAACCCGTTTAGAATGCTTACCGACTCCTAAAGAACAACCCTAGGCCCTTAGAGCACCAAACCCCTCAACCCTAACGCCGTAAACTGCCAAAAAGACGCCACAAACTTCTAGCATACCCTCTTAAACGCCTGTTAAATTCAAAAACTCTGAACCCGAAACCCCCAACCCCTAAATCCCTAAACCCTAAACCTAAGCCCAAAACCCTATAACCTAAACCCTATAGATTCCTTGAAAAAACGTATAGATCCCTTGAAGGATCCCTTAAAGGAACCCCTAAACCCTAAACCCACGCCAGGGGCTGGGGGCCCTGGTCGCGATGTCGGCACCTGGGCTAGTGACAAAGGATTTAATTTGATATACCATAACCTAGATCCCCAATATCAATTTTTGCGTTCTTATAGTTTAATAGGACTCGGAAAGCTTGTCTTTTTACTTTCGTGGTTTATTGGTGGAGTAAGATAATTTAGGGTTCCTTTAAGGGGTCTATCAGGTTTCCTTTAAGGATTCTATGAGGGTTTTGGGGTTTAGGGATTTGCGGTTTAAAGTACCACAACAAGGAAACCATATTATTTGCTGATCCCTATTATGGCGCCTTGAATTAGATCCCTTCTTAGTAGCTGAGTGGGTACATTTACACTTTTTGGGGTAATATGACCGACTATAAAACTAGAAGTGTACACTTTTTGCGGGCTTATGAACTCAGCAACTAGGAAGGGATATTGAAATCTCCTAAACCCTAAACCCTACAGATCCTTAAAACTTAAAGTCCTAAACCCTTAACCCTGTAGATCCCTAACAGTCCTAATTCCTAAACCCTATAGATCCCTTAAAGTCCTATACCCTAAACCCTATAGGCCCCTTAAAGTCCTATACCCTAAACCCTACAAATCCCTTAAAGTCCTAAACCCTATACAATACAGATTCCTTAGAGTCCGAAACCCTAAACAATCTAGTTAAAGGAGCTCTTAAATTAGATCCCTTGACAAGAGCCCAGGCACTCTCGGAGCTCAGACCAATGGCGCTTGACCACGGCACAGTGTCGGGGCCCTGGAGGTTTTTTTGAAGGGCTCGTTTTAGGGCTTAGACTTAAGGGCTTTAGGGTTTCTGATGGTGTTTCTGAAGGGCTTTTTTTGGGGTTTTAGAGTTTAGGGCTTTAGGGTTTCTGAAGGTTTTTCGAAGGGCAGGGCTTTAGGGTTTAGACTTAAGGGCTTCAGGGTTTAGGGTTTCTAAAGGTTTCTTGAAGGGCAGGGCTTTAGGGTTTAGACATAGGGGCTTAGGGTTTAGGCTTTTGGGTTGCTACAGCGGTTCGAGCAACAGTCGCAGTTCTGTCTTTAAGGGCTAGGTTGCAACATCCTGCAAAGGCTGCAGGCTCCTGCTACGGTTCTCTAAGGGTTCGCTTCAAGATTGTAGGGTCCACGCAAGGCTTCCTTGAAGGGTTCCTGCAAAGGTTCAAAAGGATTTGGGGTTTAGGGTGCTGAATAAAGTCCTTACAGGTCTTCTATGGGGTCTGTTTTGGAGTGTTTTGCATATTGATAGGTTGCTGAGGTTTGCTGATCGTCATAGAGAGCTTTGTGGTGTCTTTAAGTCTTTTCGCTTGAGAAGGGTTTCGCAAGGCTTTGTCGGCTTGTATTATTGTTCGAGTGTGTCAGAGCTTGAGGCAAACGCAAC